GAAATGAATGTTGTTGAGGATAATTTTAACAAAGAAATAAAGAATATATTGAATAGGTATAAGGAAATCTTTAAAGAAGAATTAGGTACTCTAAAAGATTTTGAAGTGGATATACGATTAGAAGAAAATTATCGACCTAAATTTTGCGGAATAAATAGATTACCGTTTTCGTGGATAGAAGAGATAGATAAAGAATTGGACAAATGGCTAAAAGAAGGAATAATAAGACCAATGGTGCATAGTGTATGGGCAACACCTTAAGTTCTCATAAGAAAACTGGATAACAGTTTAAGACTATGCATAGACTATCGGTTAACTCGTGGTTAATAGATGAAAAATATCCACTACAGATTATTGGCTAATTTAAAAGGAGCAACAATTTTTACGAAAATAGATTTTTCTAATGCTTACTTGCAAATTATGTGTGAGAAGACACGTAAGATATTAACGATTACAACGCATAGAGGTTTGTTTGCATTCTGCCGATTGCCTTTTGGATTGAAGGTATCAGCACAAATATTTCAAAGAACAATGGCTGCTATGTTCCAAGGATTAAGTGGTATTATGTATTATTTGGATGATGTTTTAATAGCAGGTAAAACAGAACAAGAATATAATAGTAGATTAATTAAAGTGCCAGATATTATTTTAGAAAATGGTCTGAAAGCTAATATGAAAAAGAGTATTTTTGGAGTAAAAGTAGTAAAGTACTTAGGACATGTAATGGGAGATGAAATTTATCCATTTCGAAGAATACAGATATAATTATAAATATGAGAGCACCAAGTAATAAGATGCAATTACAAGCGTTTTGGGGAGCTACAAATTATTATCATCGATTTATACCAAATTTCGCAGAGCTGTTAAAGAAAAATATAAATCGAATGGCAAAAGGAACAAGAACAAGTTTTGAGATACTTAAAATGAGAATGGTAGAGAAACCGATTTTGAATTGTTTTAGAGAATTTAGATATTATATTAGCAGTAGATGCATCTATGAAGGTATAGGAGGAACTTTATTACAAATGACAGATAAGGTTGAGAAACCTTTTTATTCTTATCGAGACGGTTTAGTTGCGCTGAAAAAAAGTATTCAACCATTGAGAAGTAGGCTCTTGCCGTTAAATTCGGACTACCAAAATGCAAAAGAATATCTGATTGGAGTTTTGTATTATATGCGGACCATAAACCGTTAGTTTATTTATTTAAGAAAAAAATAAGGAGTTAATGCTATCGCCCAAGCTACAAAAATGGTTGTTATTGGTAGATAATTCCGATTTTGAAATAAGATACAGAGAAGGTAAATTAGATTGTTTACCAGATATTTTATCAAGATTGTTCATAAAAGAAACAGAAGAGGAAGAAAGAGAATCCAAAATTAATAGTTTAGAAAGATTTTTCGTAGAAGAGTAAGTAAATAATATTATTATAAGATCTTTGAAAGTATACTAGAGAGAAACCGATAACTTTAGAACTAGTAGATAACGTATCTAAACAAGATGAAGAATTAATGAGAATTAAAGAATGTTTGAAAGGAGACATAGATTGGACAAAGCATTCAAAAAGGGTAAGAATGAATTAAACATGGAAGACAATTATCTCATGAGAGGATATCGTTTAGTGATTCCATTGGTATTAAGAAAGGATATTTTAGCAGCAATACATGCAGGACACCAAGGTATAGAAAAAATGAAAAATAAGGCACGAGAATATATTTGGTGGCCCAAGATAAATAGTGAAATAGAAAAATTAGCTAGAAGTTGTGAACTTTTAACATGTGGGCTAATGTACCAGCAAAAAATAAAGCAGATAAATGGCCAGAAATGGACATTCCAGGTAAAAGAATACATGTAGGTTTTTAGAATATGAAAAAAGAAAATATTTTATCATGGTAAATGCTGGTTCGAAATGGATAGATTGTCAACAGGTTTCAAGTTTAACGACAAAAGTAGCTTTGAAGAAAATAAAAGATTTTGCAGGAAATATGGATTAATGGAAACTTTGATATCGGATGGAGGCCCAGCGTTTAAAGATAGAGGTGACAAATTTTGTGATAGGTGGAATATTAAACATTTATTGTCACCACCACATTACCCGAGAAGTAATGGGCAAGCCGAGAGAATGGTAGCTATTGTTAAAAGCTGGATAAAGAAAGAGAAATATGGAGAAGGAAATTGGTGGTTATTGTTATTAGCTTACAACAACTCTAGGACAGCCAAAGGTAGGTCACCTGCTGAGATATTTTTAGGTAGGAAAATAAGAACTGAATTAGAATAAAGGAAAAATTAGAGAAGCAAAAAAGCCCATATAATAATAAATTTAAAATTGGAAGCTTAGTGTGGATACTTATGTTTAATGGTCCAATAAAATGGGGGAAGGGTATAGTAAAGAAAAATTTAATAAGAAATGGCGGAGGAACGCACAAGCTGAAATATTGTCACACGGATATTGTAACATCTGATAATAATGCAATTTTATCAGTGCGAGAAGAGGGGGAACCGTCTAAAAACGGAAAGTTAATTTTTATGGGGGGGGGGGGGGTGATGTTATATTTGCTTGTTTTTATTTTAATTTTTTATATTTAAATAATTACTTTGTAATTTGAATATTTGAACAGGAATAATGTTGTTAAATAATTATTTTCGTTTTGAATATTGTGTTAATAGAGTTTTTGACTAATATAATTTAATATTTAGAAATATTTGAATATTTAAGTTGTTTGAATATATTATTATATCATGAACTTTGATTTACTTTTAATTTTTAAAATTTATATAAATACGCAACGATTATATAATATAACAGTTTTTGTTTGGATAGTTTTTGGTGTAAATTTCGGAAATCCATTTGAATAAAGTCGTAAGAATTGTTGTTGAATTAATTAATTGTAATAGTTTTTTTTCATAATTTATACAAATTAATAAGTTTCATTTTTATTTTAGATTTAATAATCTCTGTAATTTGCCTTGGAACTTTTATCTAGTCTCCCTTAAAACACTCAATAAATATCAGAGACCTGCAGGCCCGGCCCAAAGCCCGGGCAGTATTTTATATATTTAAAATATACCCGGCCAGGCCTAAAAAATTTTTTTTAAAAACCGGGCCGAGGCGTATTTTTTAAAAAAATTTATACAACATGAATTATTATATTCGTCAATTAGATATGGTTATAATGATTATATAGTTATGATTAATATAATGTTTGGTGAAAGTTAACACTAGCTAACACTCATAGTATCTATCATAATATAATTAAAGTTTTTTTGCCTGAAATAAATAAGCAAAAGATTAAATACATTATTATATAATATGTTATATTTTTTTTATAAATACAATTAATAAAGTGTATTCTCAAAATATTATTTACACAAATTTTTTATAGTATCAATTTGTTATATATACTAAGTATCTGTTTAGAATAAAAATAAATAAAATATATTAGTGTTGTTAAACGGCTCGTTTTGAGCCGATTTTTAAAAACGGCTAACTCAGTTTTTTATCCAGAAAAATATTATGCAAGCCTGAAAATTTTGCTCATAGAAGGAGCAAAGTTCTAGACATATAGTATCGAAATTTCGAGGCTTAGTCAATATTTCTTTGGCGAAAATATTGAGTTGACTGTTTTTAAAAATAGGCTCAAAACGAGCCGTTTAAGCTAATATGCTTGCTTATTAAATGATAATACTCGCCGAAAAATATGATAAAATACCAAATAGATGAATTTTTTTGTATATATCAGGTCGAATATAATTTTAAAAAATTCCGAACCGGGCTTAAAAATTTTTTTTTAAAGTCCAGGTCAGGCCCCCAAAAAATATTTTTTAAAATATACGGGCCGAGCCTAAAATTTTTAAACCTGGACCGGGCATAAAATTTTTTAATCCAGGCCGGGCCGTGCAAATGGTACCTCTGCAGGTCTCTGATAAATATATTACGATTACTAAGATCGTAACAGTTTGGATCACATTTTTTAAAAATAAAAATAATACGTCTGTTTTAGGTTTAGCATTAAGCATAAAATTAAAATTAGCCGTTAAGATATCTTTTAGTGAATTATCTTAGTTTCACTTCACTATTAGACTAGTTTACATTACAATATTATGTCATAACAATTTGGAAAATATTTGTTATAAAATCAAATGTTTCTCTCTTTTTAATACTCAAATATTCATTCAATATAAAGTATTTTTGCAGATTTTTAAATTTTACCTTTTTTATATAACAATTTCATAGAAATGATTAAATAAAGTCTAAAAACTGTTTCGTATTTTTTTCCAAGAATAGGAAGCTTCAATGACACTTTATCTGAGAAGGGATGATCTCCAAAAACGAAATATACGTTTTTGAATTGCAGATTTACATATTTTTCATGCGATAATAATACTTAATTCGTCATTTTTATAGGGATTGGTGAATAAGATAATAAATTAAGGATATGTGTATTGTACTATATTAAAATATAATTGATTTATTATTAATAAATCACTGTATAGGGTAACTTATAAACATAATTTATAAAATATTTATTAATTTTAATTAAATTACTAGCTAATAACCCGACAAGAATCGGGGTTGAGGGGTAATAGTGTTTGTATATGGTACTAAATATACTTTATTAATATATTTTATAAAAATATTAAAATTTAGGAGAAAAAGAGGTAAATTTGTGAATCACAATTATCACTTATATTCTTAATAAAAATTTTAAACATATATAAGTAGAAAAGTCTTGGTATTTTATTATAAAATTTGTTTATTAATACAATTATCTAATTCATTTCCATACATAATAATCTTATTTTTTCAAATATAAAAGCGGAATATGAGGTGCTCGAACATATTTCGATTTAAATTCACTTATATTCTTAATAAAAATTTTAAACTTATATATAAGTAGAAAAGTCTTGGTATTTTATTATAAAATTTGTTTATTAATATTACAATTAGCTAATTCATTTACATACATTCGTAAAATTACAACATTTTGTATAAATTTGACCGTCAAAACTTTAACTAAAAAAAGATTTTGATTGCACGATCGATCTTATTTTATCGCGATTTGTGAAGGCGCAATATGCGGAAGAAAGGCCAAACCCGAAAAGACTGCCGACTAAAACTTTGCGAGGTCCGGCTAAAAATATAAATTCATTTATTATTTTTCATTAAAATATAATCTTTGATTTTATCAAAAAATTATTCCATTCGATCGAAATATTAAAAGGTTCCGTTGTTCAAATTGAGGTGATATTTGTTTTAAAAAGGAGAAAACACAAACAATTTTGCGTTTTTTTAAAGCAAAAAACACGTTTATGTACACATTACCATTTAATAAGAAATAAAATGCGAAACAAAATCGCTTGAATTTGTAGGAAGTAATAGTAGCAATAATAAATTAATATTATGAATTATTCCCAAATATTAATATTAAAAAGTTTTTAAATGATAAATTAGGAAGGCCACATTGTCAATTTTTTCCCTGGCAGTTATTAATCTATTTTGATAGTGACTGAATTAAAATTTTATTTCCCTTACAACATTCAAACAAAAATATTTCATTTGTTTAAATTTTTTGCAAGCCTAATCAATAAATAAAATCTAAAGGTGGTGTTATAATATAATAACGGCAAAAAGTAGGGACATACATTGGGTCTTTCTATTTTAGGCCCAGCCTGATTTGACTATTTTTTTAAAAACTCTTAAAATATATATTTGAAATAGGCTCGGACCTATAAATTTAAAAATAGTTTGGGCCAGGCTTGAAAAATTCTAAAAAAAATTTCTCAAAATATAATGATAAGTAAAACTTATATATTTATAAAACCCTATTAACGATTTTTGCTTTATTTATCTCATAAAAATGCTTTAAATTTATATTTTTTAATTAAAAATGTCGGATCGAGATCGGGCCTAGCAATAATTTAGGGACTGGCCAAAAAAAGCAAACTTGCAGGGCTCTGGGTTTAAGTATATTCTGATTTTTCAATTATAAATTCAGGAGGAAAAATTTGGTTTTTTTAAATAGAATACCTTTAAATGTATTAGTAAAACAAGTTAATCAAAAAAAATTTAAAGGTCCAAGTTTGGTCATAACAAAACTTCTTCAAGACAAAAAATCTTATACGTCAAGAAACTTCATTTTTTGTTTTTACTATTAATGCAATAAGTTACAACTGTTCTAAGTCTATTAGAGTTCTTTATATTGATAACCATTAACGTTTCTAGATGTAATATTAAAAATATTTGTCACCTTATATTTTTATAAAATAAACTTAGATTAATAGTTTGGATCAAATCTGAGTTCGATCTGTTTGGACCGGACTAAAATGAACAGCATTTCTTAATTTTAAACATGAGCCTGTACCGAACCTGGTGTAATTTTAATAAGGCTCAACCAAACCAAGTCTAGAAATGTGTGCTCATATCAGAACCAACCTCAGTTTGATTGGTTGGATAGGTCAATTCAGAACTATAGTATATTGTCGGGCTCACTGCAATAGAAATTTTAATAATACACAAAAATTATTTTAAAATTAATGATAAATTAAAATTTAATAAGCTATTTATGTAATAAAATTATCCTTTATAACATGAATAAACATCGATTAACCCATTACTTACTAATGTTTAAATATTCCTGTGTCGTTAAATACTACTTTTGAAAGTAGCGCGCTACCGCCAACGCTATATGGCAAAATAATATTAACGGGATATTGCTAGAAAGTCCTTCCTTCCAAAGAAAGATTTCTATCATTCACTTTCAAAAATTCAAAAAAGTAGTACGTTAGCTACTCTTTTTTTATATAAAATAGCGAAATTAATAAATTTTTTATAAATCTAATATAGGTCCATAAAATTAATATTTCAAATTCAAACACGCAAAAATATTGATATAAAAATATGTAAAATATATGCATTATTTATTTTATTGCATATTAATATTTAAATCATCTATGTTATCATCTCCAAGTCTAAATCGAGGATCAGGAGGTATACGTTTTACCTTATTAAATAAGTTCCTGCAATTGAGGGCAATGTGATATTCAATTTTCTAAATTTTTACATAAGAAAAATTATCAAAAATGTTCATTTGAGTATTTTAGCGTCTAGGCGATTCTTAGCTAATGTATCTTCGTTGGGTATTAAATTAATCAACGTTATCAATAGCCTATTTGCTACTCTTTCCAATTAAGTTAATAAAAGACCAGAACATATATACTTTATTTTACCTTCATGGGTCCCAACAATTTGCTGTGTGCAAATGTAAGAGGCGTTTGATAGATCTAATATTGAGGACTCTTTTTAATTATAATTCTTGCCATTACTTATGCGAACAGGATATCTTAGTACCAAAAAAAATGAATTCAGATTTATAAAAAAGTGATTATGAATGAAACAAGGAAATTGGCTATACTGTATAAATTATAAAATTATTATCAGCTAATTTTTGAACATCTGGTTCTGTTAGTAACACCAATATTATCGATCTCTGAAATTTTAAGTAAAGATATTCTAAATTTAAAACAGTAGATAATAATTTTCAGTTGTTAAAGCATCTAGATACAAAAATGTGGTATCAGCAACTTGACACACTATAAAAGGTATCTGTATCAATTTTTAGCTACATTTTTGTAGTATTTGGACCGATGGATCCCCCAGTCTGAATGGGAAAAATACAGTCCGTGATTGGGGGTCCGGGATATTCGATGACGGGATCAAGGGGGCCGAGTTTTATCGATTTAGTCATGGAATCACTTGGACAACGTAGTTAAAATAATATTTTCAAAGTTTATTCAACAAAGTAAAATTACAAAAAAAATATCAATTTTTTTTAAAACGAACGAAAATAATTAATGATCTAAAAAGTGTTTTGTTTTCAACCTTTATAATTTTTAAAACAAAGATAAAAAAAAAGTTGTTATTTAATCGTGATACAATCATTCATGAAACTGGTAAGAACCAGTTTCAAATGCAATATAAAAATAAGGTATAATATATCAATTTCATAACAAAATAAAGGAAGATGGGAAAACAAAAGAAACAAGTGGAGAAAAAAAAGAAATAAGTTGTACGGGACAAGGGGGGGGGGAGGTCAAACATAACAATTTTGATATAATTTTATTTTACGTTTTTTTATATTAAAAATAATAATATTTAAATTATAATTTAATAATATGTCCGAGTTTATTTCATTATAAAAACAAACCAGACAAATTTTATTTTATGCAATGGACGACAAATTACAATTTATTTTATTTATATTGATTTAAAAAAAAAATATCATAATTTTTAGATCAATATTTTAAGCCATTTCTGAAAAAAATCAAAATTAGATTTTGAAATAAGTTTTGACACTCATCAAATTTTGAAATTACTTTTAAAAATGAGTGTCAGGGTTTTAATATATTTAATGATTATCTCAATATAAAGTTGTTATTCATTAAATATAGAAAGAGTCGCGTGTGGCTAAAAATGTCTTTACAGATAAAAAAACGGGTGCCTAATATAAAAATATTGAGAATTGTGTTGTTTATTCAAATTTGTGAAATAATTTATTTTGATGTTAATTGAGTATTAATTTAAATATCTATTGAAATGTTTTAGTATATATACCAGTTGATTATTATACATATGATTATTATTATTTGATTTTTAAAAGTAGAAATAAAATTTAATCCAAAACACAAAATATAACTTGTATTTTTCTTGTTTTCTTCATGGCGCCCCGGTACGTTTTTGTAAAAAAAAAGAAGAAAATATATAAAATTTGCCTAAAATTAAAAAAAAAAATTAAATTCGAAGGACATGACTTGTTTTTAAAAAAAAAATATATATAGTCAAATATTATTCTGATATATACATATACAAAAGTGAGCTACCTATTGAGATGACTACCTTATCTATTGATATGACTACCTAGATGACTACCTATTGTAATGATTGCTTAATCTATTGATATGACTACCTATTGAGATGACTACCTTATCTATTGATATGACTACCTATTGTGATGACTGCTTAACCTATTGAGATGACTGCTTAACCTATTGAGATGACTGCTTAACCTATTGAGATGACTACCTTATCTATTGATATGACCAAGAATCATACCTTAGCACGTTTTTTCAGGCAAAAAGCTTCTTTCTTTATGGTGTCCTGGCTCTGGATGTTGGACTGGAATATGATAACCAGCACCTAACTTAATGTGACAATCTGGACGTTAGGTTATGAATTCTATATTGTGAGACCAATGATGATTACTTATTATTCTAATCCACGTAAGAAGAAAAGTTATTATAAATTAAAATTTTATGCCGAGATAAAGGCATGTTATAAATATACTTATTAAAATAACTTAAATGTAAATCAATAATGAACATATTTGAACACATAAAAAGCCTTAAAAAAATTATTTACTTAATTTCTTAGTGAAATATTGATATTTTTTTGATTTCTTGTATGATGACCAATTGTTGTAAATTAACTAAACCTAAAGATGAATTTTTAGATATAATTAAAAATAAACCATTAAAAATCCTAAACAAGAAGATAAAACTTTAATTTCAAATATATTAAAATGTAATTAAAACATGAATTAAAAGGTTTAAATAACATGATTGATTTAAATAACCCTTATAAGTAATACTTAATATGATAAAAATGTTTTTGAAATAAAGCTTTTGAAGACAAGTTATGTAACATCTTCATTTTAGATAAGTATTTAAATGATGTGACGAGATCATTTTCTAAAAATTATCTTATGAAGAATTTTTATTAAAAATAACACTTTTTTAATTAAAACTAGGGTGTGAAATTAAAATTTTTTATTTAAAGAGAGGGAAATGTGAATAATATTTTATTTGCATATTTAAACCTCGGAGATTGAAAATAAATAAAAATAAATTAAATATTAAAACGCAACTTAAATTATTAAAATAAAATATTAAAACGCTACAAATTATTAAAATAAAATATATAAAACGCAAAATTTAAAAAAAACGCGAAATTTTATATAATCTTTTTTGATTTATCATTCTTACGGAATTCTACATATTTATTCCAAATTTAAAATTTTATTCCGTATTCCATATATTCAAATTTGATCAATTATTCCTTATGATAATGATAACGTACAACAATTTTAACAAACCTACGAAAGCGTATGGACTCACGCGACTCAGACAGACTTATGCGCCCACCGAGCAGCAACTTGATGCTTTGTCGAGGAGGGGAATGTTAATTGTGTTGTTTATTCAAATTTGTGAAATAATTTATTTTGATGTTAATTGAGTATTAATTTAAATATCTATTGAAATGTTTTAGTATATATACCATTTGATTATTATACATATGATTATTATTATTTGATTTTTAAAAGTAGAAATAAAATTTAATCCAAAACACAAAATATAACTTGTATTTTTCTTGTTTTCTTCAAGAATATTTTATTATTAAATTCTAACAAAAATTTTATTAAATTTATTAGCTCACTCTCAAATTTGAATATTAACAGTAGAATCTTAAATTAAACTTTATGCACACCTTACATAAGTATAATAAAAATATCTAGATACGTTTCTAGAAGAGATATATGCGTCGAAATCCATTTTTAGACGATGTATCTGTCGCTAGATACATTTGATAGTATTTTTAACAACTCTGATAATTCTATAATTAATATTATATTTCCATATTTTTTTAAATCAAGCTGCTTGATTTATTAAGAGATATCGTCCTTCGTTATTTATGCATCTAATATTAATTTTTTTTATTGAGTTTAAACTTTTACAAATTTGAGGAAAGGTAATTCCATAATATTATTTTTTAGTGAAATTTTGTGATCATCATCTAAGTCACAATCTTTCATATCTATCTCCATTGGCGGCCCACTATTTTAAATAACTTAAAATTAGATTTATAAAGCATTTTTCGAACTATAAATTTCACTTAAAGATTATAATATAAACTTGATTATTATTAAATTATAAATAAATTTTTGTATTTGTTTATAGTATATATTAAAAAGAGCGCATTACCGCTATAGATATTTTTTAAATAGAGTACTATTAACTATGCTACTAAAAAGTGGCGCATAGATCTGGAATTTAAACATTAAATTTGACTTAAAATTATTCATTTATTTTATGATTTATAATTTTGATAAAAGAATGTAGATTGTCTAGGCATATCTTTCCTTTTTCTGGAAATAATGATTTTAAAAAATTGAACTCATTTTGTTATATTTATAACCTCCTAAAAAAATTAATTAAAATAAATTTTAATTTCAAATATTATTAATTTGAAAACTCATACTAAACTATAATATTAGTTTCAGAAGTATTAATTATTTGAAGATATATAGCAAAATAATTACATGTTCAAATTTTCAAACATTGGTAAATAATGTTATCTAAAATAAGAATCCATTTAACAAAAAATTCTCTAATTTGGAAACTAATGTAGATATATTTTTAGAAAATTCATTTGTTGATAAACTTGAAATTGTTATAATTAGGTAATTCCATGACAAATCGATCAGTGATTTGGACGTCCATCTTAAAAATAAAGGACTTGGATGTTAGCCATTTATGTTGTAAATTTTAATAAAATAAAAAATATATTGCACTAGCTCAACCATATCTAAAGATATACGCCTTCAAAGTAGAAAATCGAGCAATGTGTGATTTAATTAAATCTTGTTTTTTTTAAAAATACTTAAGATAGAATTATAAATTATATATCATTTTCTAGCCCTTAAAATTTTACGTAGGAAAATATTGTAAAAAAATTAAAATTTTTCAAGTGTTTTCATATTATCAGAATAAAATGAGACTTTCTTAATATCCTCTAGCGTTTCAAGTGTAATCAACAATTCAGACTCAACTTTTTGGGGGTGTTGATATTTTTCTAAAAATGTTTATTATTTTTATTAATAAAAAAATAATCTAGGTGGCCTTATATTCAAAAATCTTATAACATAATATATTTAATAAAAACATCAATAGTATTGGTATTAAAATGAAAAGTTATATTGAGTATAGCCAATATGATCTCGGCGATATGTAAGCAGACAGCCCATACAGATGATTACATTTGGATGCTATATTGTAAAATTAACATATTTAAAAATTTTATATATAAACTATTATAAAAAATATATTGATTATCATTATCGTATTCTATTTTGTGCTTATTAATGGAATTTCCCGAGGCCATATTTGTTGGTTTGTCCTGTCGCTGTTGGGATCTACTATCGTTATTATTTGATGTCATTTGTGGGGTAAAAGAAGGATGTTAGTCCATGGGGTTGTAAAAATATATATCTCCACAGCAATTTTATTCCTTTTAGTACTGTAGCTAACCACTAAAAATCGGCAGACAGGTCCAGACCATGGTCTTAAATAAAAGACCGTATATTTATGAAGATTTTTGGTGGTTAGCCAAAGTAACAAAAAAAAATGAAATGACTGATAGATATATATTTCTTTTTTACATTCCCTAGGACCATCACCATCTTTCTTTTACCCCACGAATGAGGAAAAGATATGGGTGCCCATTAATCAAATACAGTGTTGTGTAGATTTCATGGAAAACATTTCCATATATTTTAATTTATTTGTAAATAAAATTATTAAACTTGTAAAAATTTATAAGAATATATAAATATGTTATTGTAAGAATTCGGTTAATGATGCTTACTACCTTAAGGTACTACCTATCAAATTTGAATTTTGTTTATTTTTCATTTGGATAGGCACTACCAAATATATTTATAATATATATTTGAAAAATCGTGATTTTTGGAAAACCCCTATGGCCTAGTAGGCAAGAGCTTCGCTTACTAAGGTTCGAATCCCGGGAATGGTCATGTTTTTTTTCTTAATCTAACTTGGTGGTTCCATCCTTGGGGGGATGATATATAGGAGGCCGGACTCGACCACGTGATTCCGTATTAATATATTAAATAATAATGATCTTATTACATTTTAATAAATTTTGGTCGGTATTTAGCAAATTAGGTTGGTATTTAGAATATTTCCATACATTCACTTGGTAGTAAGTATCATTAACCTAATAATTCTTTGCAACAAATAATTTTAATTGTAAATAAATTAAAAAATATGAAAATGTTTTTCATCAAATCTGCACAAGACTATAATAACGATTAAATCTCATAACAGCGACAGGACGTACTTACAAATTATCGCACAGGAAATTCTATTAATAAGCGTAAAAATAAATACGCTAAAAACAAGAGGTTTTTTTAAATAATAGTTTGTCTATAAAATTTTAAAATATGTATATTTTACAATATAGCGTCGCTTGCTTACATATTGCCCCGGGACATCATATTGGTTATATTCAATATTATTTATTTTAATACTAATACAATTCATATTTTTATCAAATATATTATGTTATAATGATTTTCGAATATAACGCCATCTATATATCTATAAAATTAGAAAAAAATGACTATCGAGTCTTTTTATAAAATAGTATAATATAAAGGTAATAAACATTTTTAAAGAATAACATCACATAAAAAAATCCCTTCCTAACAATGTTTTATTTTCACCGGAATTAAGAAATTTTTTAATTTTTTTCAATGTAAAATTTTAAAGGGCTATAAAATGATATATAATTTGAGAGCTTTAAAATTTTGATTTTACTAAATATACAACATAGATTATCATGTCAATTTTGTCCATTTTAGAGAAGGTCGTCAGAAAATCTCGTTTTTTGGTCGATCTGACGTGGAATGACCCAATTTACCACCAAATTATATAAGAGATGCCACTCAGAATAAAAATATGGACAAAAAAATTTCTGAAAATATTTTTTACTTTGAACCATCATTTTTTTAAAATTTTTTTACAGAAATGGAAATTTTGTGTTATTGAAATTACAGCCAACCCTGTGACCTTAGTCACTCATTACTCAAGAATAATTCCACTTTTTAGATGCTAGAGCTCCCAACATAAAATATCCATCAATATTAGCCAACTAAATATGAGTGATTATCTCCTATGTTCAATTTATAAGAGGAGTCGATTTATGAAAAAAATAATTGTGAATTAACCATATTTAATCTTTTTTGCCAAATTATTAAAGAATAGAATGGAAGTTTTAAATAATAATGAAGTAAAGCATTAATTCGAAATTTAGTTTATGTATTATTGTTGTAAAAAGGTTTGACGTAACCCATTTTAAATTAAGATTTTAGCCAAAATAATATTATGCAAGTCTCGAGAATTCGTGTCCGAATCTTTCTACCATCTATGAGCATAATATCCACTTACATAATATTTTTTGGTGAAAATATTGGGTTAACTGTTTTTAAAAATCAAGCCATTTAACAAGTGCCATTAAATATTGGATCAGGGTCAATATTTAGTGATTTAAAGTTCTTTTGAATTTGGCCGTTTATTGTTTTTGTTATTTTATGATTGTATGTATATATAATTATATATTTTTATTTCCACATAATTTCATAATAAACAATAGGAACCAAAATTTTTTTAAAAAAATTGAATAATTTAAAAAGAGAGAGTAGTTAAATTGATATTATTTTATACCTGCAAGAAGAAAAACATCTAAAAATAACTAATGAGTCACTGTTGAAATGCTAGATTTGACTAATTTTAAAAAGTAGTTCAAAATATTTTAGCTTAACGTAAATAACCCAAGCTAGGATGTTTTGATATAACAGAAAAGTTTGGACATTTATTGGCAAAATTTTGTTATAATTATTTTTGCAAAAGTCTGGATTTCGCCATATTAAAAATCGGCTAATTCTGCCATTTAACAACCTAAATTCAGCCATAAACATTTCACATATTTAGAATGAGATTTTTTAACCTTGGAGATTAAAAACCCATAATATACAAAATCATTTGTGAAAGTTAGTTGGCTTCTTTGAAAAGAAAATATTAATTTTTTAATGACATTAGTTCAAAGTTAGATGGTAAATAAAAATAAATTTAAATATATGATTGGTATCAGTCATCTAATTAGTTTTATAGTATATTGAAAAATATTGGATAGAATGGTGAAAAGTTTTTTGATCAGCACAGCCCTAGCTTATATACAGTATATTAAAAAACATATTAATAAACCAAAAAAATTTACTACATCATTGCAGTGAGACTAACATATAATATTTGATTATTGTTTTCAGTTAAAATAGCTTTTAAAAAAGTCTCAAACAACTCCTACATTTATTAGATTCTAATTTTATTTAAAAATATGAAAACCTCTTCTAGTTATTAGAGTTGTTAAATGGCTCAATTTTTAAAAACAGCTAACCAAATATTTTAGCTCAAAAATATTTCGCAAGCCTCGAGATTTTTCTCATAGAAGGCAGAAATATTTGGACATCTATTAACAAAATCTCAAGGCATGCACAATATTTTTTGGCTAAAACATTGGATTGGATTAAAAATCGAGTCGTTTAACAACACTACTATTTATATTTAAAGAGAAATAGTCTCCTTGTGAGTATTTTTAAATAAATAAGAAAAACATACTTGTTGATTTAAATAAGGCCCCCGTTAAGGTTGCTGAAGTTATCGTATTTATTTCATCATCTTTGCCCCTTGCCCAAGATAACAACACACCAAAACTACTATACATTAAAGCTTTTGTATGATAAATCATATTTAATATATTCTAAAGTGTGTCAAATCAATTTATTAATTAAAATAACAATTTGATTAAAAATTAAATATCTTTTAAACAAATTTTATATTACTATACCCATGATTCCTAATATGTTTGCTGTGCCAGCTCCTTGTCTAGTCATAAAATTTAGAAGTCTAAATTATATAAGTTAGATATAGAAAATAAATAAATTACTGAGTTCTTTTGACTGTGCCTTTTAGATCAGCCACATGTGTTTCTTTCAATCCATTGTATAGCCCATTTATTCCTCCAATTGCTGAGCCTTCATAAATAATTTGCATTTTACAAAAATAATAATAAATTTTCAAAAACCTGCAATTACTGACGATCCTATTTGAGAAAAAGCAAGTTCAAAACGTCCTCGTTGCTTATTTGCCCCTTCAGGAAGTATGAATTCTGGTTCATTCTTAAAAATAAAGATGATAATATTTGTCAAAACTATAAACCTTATATAATAGTGAAGGGTCAAAGTTTAAATAAGGGGACATCATCGTCGATGCATACGCTAAACAAAGATTAAAAGAAAATTAAAATAATAATAAAATACTTTGATGTTTAGTCTTAAAATTATCCTCATTCATTGCTAAAGTGATAGCTGCTATAGTAAAAATATTGGGTAACTATTCATTGACTTATTATATGTATTATATAGCTTTTTTTAACCACAGGTTACAGCGCTATGTGTCTTTAAATTTAAATAGATAGAATGGTTGAGTTAAACATTGCTTTATGAACTAGCTCAATACTTATAAGGTCCATCTTTAATCCCAAAGATAATTAAATGGAAACACGAAAACGTGATTTATAAGTATTTATTAGAAAGATTATAATTAGAGATGTAGATATCTCTGTGTCTAATATCTAATTCCTTGGAAATAATTTTGCCACAATTATTGACCAATATCGCTGAGTCTTTCTTAACAACTTCAACACAAGAATTTTGAATTAATTATTTAGTATATTTTTAATATTTTATTGTTTGGCATAGATTTTAAAATTATAATTATATTGAGTTCTTTTAATTTGAGCTCTATCTATGGCCAATTAAGACCAGTTATGATTTAGCATTAAATTGGGTCTCTATAAAGTCATATGTTTGTTTTATCAAATCATTCAATCATAATTTTTATAAAAAAAAACCATGACGCTTTCGCAATCAGAAGTTAATTCATTATCAAAGTAATCGCTTATTCAATAATATTTAAATTTTTTCAAGCTTGTTAGCAGAAGATTATGTTGAAAATCATTCGTTTGAAAGCTTATCTACTTCGTTTCACCATTATTTTCAAAAAGTGGATTATTTTAAAATAGGATCCATGCTGGTACAGACATGCTTTATTAAATTTATAATTTTTTAAATTTAAGGTTCTATTATTGCAGCAACATGATTTAATTCCCCTGTCTACTCAACGCTTAGTATGTATTTACCTATTATATGAAATGTATAAAAATGATCCATTGGATATAAATCCATTTACAACTGTTTTTTATTTATTATTGGTAAATTTACATTAAAATATTAGTATGTCAAAATTTTATAGACTTCGTCTGAAGATATTAAAAATAAAAGTCAACGCATGGATTTTAATGGAACTCTAGCAGCTATTAATGCTTCTGAAAAATACTTTTTAGCAGCACTTTTATCCAACAATGCAAATGAGGTAAAAGAAAAAATATTTTTTTCAAAAGCAGAAATTTTGAACAGAACATTATGCATGGATTGCACACACAAAAACCTGGCCTAAAATTTTAGCCAAGGTTAGTCAACATTTGCAACACATTTTTCTGTGTTAGGCAATTTGTCCAGAATATTTTATCTAGCAGGTTTGGCCTAACATTTAAAAAAATGCAAATTTATGATTTTTCCTTTACAAAAAATAATTACTGGTAGGGACAAAAATCTTTAGAATGGGTAACCTGTTTGAAATTTTTTTTGGGAGTAGGCTAATAAAAACTTTCTAATTCTATGGACACGATAATGCTGATCTCTAAACATCCCTGTAAACCTGGGGGTGGCTTAATTTTTTTAGCCCCCAAGTTTGACCTACAAATTTGTTTCTACTTATAAAAATGCCACCATCAACTGAAGCTTCCTATCTATGAGCCTCTCTAATATTGATTATCTTTACCTGGCCAAATTTTTTGACTCAATCTAGATTTTTATTTTTAAGTATTTTATGGCCTATAATTTATAAAATTTCGTTATTTTGAATAATTTTAGGTGTATTTTGTAAATTGTCTTAAAGATGAGTAAAGATCATGATTCTCCTGACCTCTTTAGATGGGTATAATTTTATATGTAATAAACTTACACCTACAAAAGCAGTGTTCAAATTTTAATATTCTAGCATATATTTTTGAAGATATCTAAGGGTCAAAGTATAAAAATGATATCATTTTATGCTTATCTTATCGATTTTCCTCCAATTTAAAATTTGCTAAAGACTATAAATAATGATTTTATTTAGTGTTGCTAAATGGCCCGATTTTTAAAAACGGCGTACACAATATTTTAGCCAAAAAATATTAAGCAAACTATGAGATTTTGCCCATAATTGACAAGAAGGATTGGACATCTATTAACCTCGAGGCTTGCATATTTTTTGGCTAAGATGATGGGTCAGCCGTTTCTAAAAATCGAGTCGTTTAACAACACTAATTCTATCATTTACATTTTATTTTTTTTATATTTATTTTTTTTAATGTGGCGGTTCATTTAACCTCTTTTAAAGTTTAAAATCCTTAAAAAATAATCAGTTTATTTTTTATAAAATTTTATGCAAATGCCACTAAGACAAATCTATATCCGTATAAAAAAAATTGGAGTTCTTAATTTTCACTTTCATGAGGAAAATAGATAAAAACTAAGAAAAACTGATCAATATTAAAATTATTATATAAAATGTATTTATTATGATATTTTATAATCAACACATATTTATTTTAAATTTTTTAAAAAAATTCTGAGGTTGTATTTATTTGAAATATGAAATATTGATATAATTTATGTAATTTACTGGTTATAAATATTTTTTAACAATAAAATTATAATATTGCATAATTGTTATTTTATAGATTCTTTATTTTAATAAAAATACATATGAAAATTTTAAACAATGTTAAAACAATTAATGACATATTGGCTGTGTCCTAAATATCAAAATATAATCAGGCTTGTTAATCGATCTTTTTAAAAAGATCGAATCCCGATCACGATCCTTCAAAAAAAGAGGTCGAAATCCAGGATCGACCTTTTTTTTAAAAAGGATCACGATCCTTTTCTTATTTTAATTTCTGAAGGAAATTTCTGATCGTTGCAAAATTAACTAATAAAAATATTTAGAATATATTTATTTAATATTAAAATTAGTCTTTAATAATAAAATCTTTTCTAAGTTATTATCATTTAAACATCCACGTATTTCACTAAGCACATGTTTAGCTTTACTAAACAAGCGCTCCACCGGAAATATTTTTTTAAAATTAACATAAGTATTAAAAATATTTATTGAATCATTTGAATAAAAAAAATATTAATGGAACAAGCATTTTATGAAGAAATTTTCCCAAATCTATTTCATCGTTACATTCATTTGAAGCATCTGCATGTGGTTGATCCTGCATTTATTCCAAATGGGCAATTAAACTTTTTTTTACCAACAGATTTTGTGGCAGATTAATATAAGGCCAATTTAACTTAAATTTTGGGTGAATTATTACTGCCAATATGACTGTATCATACAATGAAGGAAATAATTAATTTATTATTAAATAAGTGTTCGTTCATATACAGGTATAAACTTAGCCCTTATTAACCCATCAATAGATATTTTATTAATTATTGTAAATAATTCTTATTATATGCATATTGTTATGCTCTTCAGAAATAAATAATAAAAACTGTATTTTTAAAAGAATTAATTACTTCTAAATACCTTTTGAGGTTTGAACTACTAATCTATGAAGATATTTTGTTCTTACATAAAGAGAATAACACTGATCATTGTGTAGTTACTTCCACCCATTTCATAAAGTAAAATACTTGCGTAAATTATGAAATGGTAAAAGATTCTCATTCTCACTTATATTTTATGTCACACCAATAATAGATGTATTATCTTTTAAATCTTTAATGGAGGAAATTATTAAGACCTAGAATTTATTTATATTTTATATAATATAATTAAATAAATAAAACTTGTAGGCTCTAAATCTCGTTCTAGATAAAATTGGTGGAATGGAAGTTGATAAAATATAATGTAGATAGATTTTTTTTAAAAATAATATTTTAATTTAATTTTCAAAATTTTTATTTTATTAAGTAAAAAATTAATTTTAAAAGGATCGGGATCGAAAATTAAGAAAAAATAATCTCGATCAAGATCCTCAATTTAAGTCAGGATCATAAATCCGGAAAAATTGACAAATTTAGGATCAAATCCAGGATCGGCGATCTTTTAATTCGATCCTTTAACAACTCGAATATATTAATCGAAACTTTAACGTGAAAAAAGAAATAAACTGGACACAGCCTTATGCAAAATTAGTTTTTATTTGTATTTTAGTATTTTTATCGATTTTTACCACAAAGGGTTAAACTAAGAAAATCATTAATATTATAAATCAGTTGGTTCAGATAAACAATCCACATAACTTAAATACATGTTCAAGCCTTAATTTTTTTAATTTTTTTATAACATATTTTAATAAAGCTTATAATAATCTATCTAAATATATTGTTTAAATTTTTTAAAATAAAAGCGTAAATGGTTAAAATATTTAGTTCAAAATCAATGTACCATGAATTGTGCTCCGTTATTGGGTTAATAAAATATAAAAATAAAATTAGAAATTTATCAGTAACATGTTCTGGAATATTCTAAAATTTGCAACGGAACTTATTTCTTTAGTCAGAACAGGAACACAAAAATGTTTTTTTCTAGGCCTCTGCCTGACACAGATATTATTATAAAGGAGAGAGTATTCTTGAGTCAATGGAGAGGGTGCGATTTAAGTTGTATTGTTAAATCACCTTGATTTGGACTATTTAAAAACAAACATTAAAAAAAATTTCCTTTTCTTTTGAGGGTTTTTTAAAATACAATTGTTTCAAATGTGTATACCTAAAACCTGTGCGCCGATGTACGCGGCGGCGGAGCATTTTTATATCGATGGTGATCGGCACGCCGACAACAAAATTCATGATAAACTGTAAATTTGTTTGTATATTATTGCCAACAAAATTAAGCATTAAAATTAAAATGGAAATACATCTTTAATACACACCAAACAAAATATGATAAATTTATGTTTATAAAATATCTTTAACATAAGATAAAGATTGAATCATCAACTTAAGCAATGAATAACAACATGTTGCACATTATTTATATAAAGGGAAATATAAAAATGCATTTTATACAATATAAATTTAAATTATATTAGATGATATATCTTTGTAGTTATCATGTAAATATAATTTGGTCAAAGTTTTCTGGAGATAATGAAGATCTTTTTGAATTTCAATATCAAGCCAGCAAATATGTTCACTCAGGGGGCTTGTCTGCTAAATTGAGCAATTTTATGCGTTTCCAAAATATTAGCACATCAAACTTAGGTTCGCTTTTCTAATATGTCATATTATAGTTAAGATTGTAAGAAATATAGATTATATTTATTAGTTATAACTTTTAATTTATTTTAAATATTTTTGTATAAGTTTTTGTGCTATTTAAAGAGATTTATAAAATAGCGCCACGCCGCCACTGATCAAAACATTGGCGGCGCGACACATAGGTCTATCTGGACCCCCTTACAATTTAACGGGAAATTTATTTTGTACCCAACCCCCACCTCGTTATAGGAGCCCTGTGGTTAAAAGTATATTAATAACACGAACCATATTAGAATTTTATTGATAATTTTTATATATTTTTATTGTAGCTTTTAAAAAAGACACCAAATCAAATAATATCCAACAATGCACCTGTACTTCAAGTATATTAATTATTTGGTGTTGTCAGAATAAATAATCTTAAAAAATATTAGTTACCTGATTTGACAAATCTTCTTGATACTCTCTCTTACAAGCACAATCAACTTCCTATAACTGCTAAAGCAGGATTATCTTGTTTAATTGCTGATCCCGATTTTAGATCAAGGTATTAATTAATATAAAAATTTATTATGCCAATCATAAACTATAATTTTACTAAAAATTAAATGCAACTCTAGTTGTGACTGAGCCAGGACGTACGCTTCAGAGACTTTGATTTATCCTTATTGTTCTCAAAAAGAACCAAACCATGGCTTACTAACCTAAAGCCTCGCGCATAATATTTTTAAACCTAACCCAACCCTAATTTTTATTTATTGATTATTGAGCCTTGTCCCGTTTTAAATATAAAAATATAAATTAAAGGGATTTTTCCCCCACAACAAAAATCTTGATTTAGGATTTTGCTAAAGAATCAGTAAATCCCAACGTAAAAATATAAGGAGGGGGGGGGTGTATAAACTAAATATGCTCAGGTTCGAAACTTTTATGTCATTCCTATCTATTATCAATTTTTAACTATTTTTGTAGCAAACTAGTTTCAATATTGCCAATTCTTTTAATTTATATTTTAATTGTTATATTCAACCAGGCAGAAAAAAATAAGAAAAAAAAGGAAATCCGGAATGAACACTTCTGAGGAAGAAAGATCAGCATTATTTTTTTTAATACTCTTTTTGATTATTATACAGGAATCGAGTTGGTAAAAGTTAAATCCGCCATTTCTTAAAACACTGTTAATCTAATCGGCCCCGATCTGATTTTTAATCATGAATCTATTAATCTAAAATTTTCAAGCCAGATATATGATTTTGTAAAGCTGGGCTGAGCGTAAATAGGTCTATGCAAGGCTCTCATGTAAAGCATATCAAAACTATTTTATAAAACCTCTATTTCTCCCATTTATTTTAAAATAATATAATACATAAAAAGCATATGTTTAGACTCAGCTCTCATGTCCTCTCCTTCAGGCCCTTCTTCTATGCTTTTATCGAATGCTGCCTCAAATAATTCTAATATACCCAACAATCAATCCTCAAATTTGTCACCTCTTCTTTCGCCTTTACTTATGCCCGTGGCTTCCCTTCCTTCACCTCTGACCTTCAATTCCTCATCTAATTGCCACAGTTGCGTAAATTGCGGGGCTAATCGTTCAAATATTGTTTCCGGAATCTCTGATGGCACGATGATGACTTGTCAAAATTGCGGCAGTAGCTTAATGAATAATAACGGTCTATCCGCCATGAGTAACGATTGCCCGCCTCAAACCAACGTTTGCACAACGAGCAATTTAACGTCGAGTCACAAGATGATTAAAAACACCATAGAAAAGTTATTGGCTGGTCCTTTAACCCTCACCGACCATTGTCTCGTTCCCGAGTTTCTCAGATTAGCGCCTCCCCTTCACTCTCAACAAACTTTTCTCCTTTACTTAGAGAATAACGACAATGCAATAATCACCACCGATCTTACAACCAACGATAAAAGTCATGTAAAAAAGTCATCGAACATCGATCAGGACGACAAAGAAAATGCAACATTTTCCATTGATAAAGAAATTCTAGGAGAAAGTTTAGAGCCCTTGTTATCTATAGGAGCCAGCGAATTGGTTTGGCTCGTTCCTTCCCCCATACTCAACCCTCTTCACTCCTCCTTTCCATATTATAGCCACGAATCAATTTCTTTCCCTTCTCCCGCTCCCTTTTCGGCCCTTTCTCATACTTCTGTCAATAACTCCACGGTAGACGATTATTACTTCAACGTGGACGTTGATGTATCAGGAGATACTCTATTAGAATTGTCCCGTCACGCAGCATCTAACGTTAATAACGAATTTTACGGGCAAAAAATGAGCAGTTCCGATAGCAATAATAATGTCGCTAGTTTAAACAATACATCTCAACCTTGTAGATTTCCTAGCTTTTTTAAAATAGAGTGGGATCGTTCTATGCTTATGGGCGATAGCTACGAGCAAGGAATCACGGATAACATATCGACGACTCTTACATCTACATCAGGGTTATTAGTAAAAAAGCAACCCACAAAAATCAATTATGAAGAGGGGTCAACTTTTTCGGATGTTCAAAATGTGGGATCGATTGGTACAACTAACATTGATTCTTGTTTAACTGAGGCTAAAAGCGTGGTTGGAAAGGCATCAAAATCACCACTTTCGCCGCCTCAACAGCAAAGGTTGTTGGCGCAATTCGAAGCTGACCCCAAAATAGTATTTCAATTGGGAATAAGCCCATCCAAGGTTTATATGATTTTATAACTTTAATTAATTTATGCTAATTTATATAATGGTGCTATTGTTAAATCCGTTATTTTATTAATTAAATATTAACGTGACATTTTTTTAGCTTTATTATACAAGAAGCATTTAAGGTAAACATCGTAACATAAACTTTTATGAGCATATTTGTCGAATATAAAAACTTATATAAATACAAAGTTACCAGATTTAGTTGAAAACAATCCATTAATTGCTATCGAAATTTTGCTAAAGATGGCAGCATCTAACCAAATTACCGAGTACAATTTTATTATCATTTAACTATTTTTTTAAATTTATTAATTTAATACCTTTCCCTTATCTTACATTTTAATTATATAGATACCTCTCAGTATTAGTCAATATGGAAATGTCCCTTCACTCAATGGAGGTTGTCAATAGATTAACTACGGTTAGTTAACGAAAATATTTTTTAAATTCATTCAAATGTTATTATTTATATATCTAAATATTTTAAAATTTGTAATCCAACCTAGGCTATAGAATTTCCTGTGGATTTTATACATCTTTATATATCCAATTGCATATCCACTTGTGAAAATATCAAAGATAAATACATGCAAAATAGATTGGTGCGCCTGGTTTGTGTATTTTTGCAGTCCTTAATCCGAAATAAAATCATTAATGTTCAAGTATGTTTCATTGACTTTTTTTAATATTAACATTCATTAATTTCATTATTAAATTTAACCAATTATGTATATAAACTAGTGCTGTAAACATTTCTAAAAAAATCGAACGCGTTCAAGTTCTTGTTCAAAAAAAAGGAACACGTTCACGAACGCGTTCACGTTCATAAAGCCGTTCAAAATTTTAGGATAAATTTTTTTTAAATTTAATTTAATATAAATAAACTTATATTTTTTAATACAATATATTTTAGTCATGTCAAAAAATAATATATTTTTATTTTGATAATATAATATAGCGAATAATAAGATATTTTTATTTATAAAAAAAATTTCTTATTAAATTTTAATAACAATGGTTTTCAAAATATTTATCTGATAGACAGGAACACTGGCAGTTAATACGGCATTAGCTAAACTAAAAACGCACTACAGGGGCAGATGAGGGGATTGCGGTATTATACTTAATAAACAGCTCTTTTAACGTGGAGAATTAATTAAAAACATATTATTTTGTTATTTGCAAAAAATTGAGATAAGATATCCTCCTCCAATCCATTCTCTACTCTCGACAAAAAAAAAGGATATCTCGAAATTAACAGTTCTCTAGGGTTTTCAAAGCATTTTTTTCAATAACGCTAAAGTTTATTTTTAATAGGTTCGTTCTGTGGAAGTTTTATCCATGGTCATTGAAGTTTGAATGCTGGATGTATAATTGCAGAAAGAACATATTGATCCTTATATATATGTTCAAATCTTTAAAAAAATAAAAATATGTAATTAATTGAGAGTGATAGGTTTAATACCTTTTATTAATCCCATTTAATACGGCGTCTATCAATGGTTGACCATATTTGAGGCCACTAATTTTTTTTAATTTTAAAATAACTATCGTTATTGTTAGGGTCAAATATCCCAAATGCATTATTTCTTCAAATTTAATGATTTAATTTAGTTATATCATATAAAAAAAATAATTAATATTAAAATCAAATGTCGTTTTAAATTGGAACTGAAGATTTTGATAATATGATACTTTTTGGCCACATTTTACACTTGGTAAGCATTGGATTAGTTCCTTCAATATAGAATGTTAATGTAAAACATTTATCATATTTTGCCATAGTAATGTTAATTCATCTGATTTTGGATTTTCAGAATCAGATGATGAGGATTAAATAATAATATCCATGCTTATGCTAATCTATTAAATTAAAATATAAACGATAATATTCAAATTAATAAACTATGTGTTAAAAAAATTGAAATGTGAAAAAGAAATACACAGCCGATTAAAAAAATATAAATAATACATTTTTTAAAAAAATTCGGAAATATATAATTTTTCAAGTAAATAAAAATATTTTTAAAATTGAACGAACGTTAAATTCGAACGCGTTCACGTTCAAAGTTCGTCAAAAATAAAAGGAACGCCATTCATCATTTTTTTCAAAAAAACGAACTTCGTACGCGTTCATTTTGAACGCGTTCGTTTACAACACTAATATAAACTACTAGATTAGCGATTCATATTAAAGGTGTCCATGTATAAGAGTGAGTTGTAGCGCTATTTTGTGGTTTTTACTTAGGCTAATCTTTATTTATGATTATATATGAAGGCATATTAAGTTATTTAATCAATATTGATATAATTTTTTTTTAAAAATGATAAAACACTAAAATATTAAATCAACTATATAAAAATAAAAATATATATTAATAGTATCAAAGGCTCTAAAAAGAACTTAATTTAATAATGAAAATTAAAAAAAAGGGATTCGCGATTTTCGTTTGTTATGCTAAAAAATTTTCATGATAAAGTTTTTAAATAAATATATGTAGACTGTGAAAAATTGCCGTTAGTTGAAATGACTATTGGCTGAAATATAGTTATTTAATTTTAAATATTTCTTAATTTTTTTGTTTTCCCCACTAGTAAGAGGGTTTGTATTAATTGTTGAAGGAAAGGATGATACGCAGGTTGCATCCCAAATAAGGGATTTCCCATTGGACCAGGGGGTGCAGGTTAAGCCATCTGGCGTGCAAACCACAAAATGGCGTTACAGCTGACTCCTATTTATGGGCATTTTAAAATTCATATAATGAATGAATCGCCAATCTAGTAGTATATCATCATTGGATTTAAATAAATGACAAGTCTATAAATTACTTTATTTTTCTTTTATATTCATTTTATTAGAAGCTGATTTCATACAATTTAATTCAAAATTTTTCAATGATTAATTGATTATAAAAAAATTAGGATTTATTTATCGAGGTCCAAGCATTTTGCATAGAATTTAGTAGAATACGAGAAGCGGCAGGTTTATTCCGACTTTTACGGAATTTAGAAAATAACGTCCAAGGAATGGGTGGAGGAAATAATAGCGAAAAACAACAAAATGATATATTAAATGATACAAATCAATTTTCACTTTGATATTTTTTTATGAAATTATAACAGCACATTTATAATGTGATGTATAGGTTTTTTTCGAGCTTATTTATATTTTTTACGAAATAAATTTAGATTGAATGTTGTATGTTATATTTTTTTACTTTAATATAAAAGCGATTCAAACATGGTATTGTAAAAGTTTTTTTTTATAAAATTTAATAATTAACATGGTGGGCATGTTAAGTTTAGGTACTTTTAAGGGTCATTATATATAATCAGTAAATCATGGCTAGTTTTAAGTTTCAACAATAAATTAAGGGTAAACAGGAGGATGTGATAATAATATTATCTTACAAGGTAATGGTATCACGCCAGGCCTGTTAATTGATCCTTTTAAAGGAACGAATCACGATTTAAAAAAAAAATGGATCTAAAGTTGGAATTTTTTTTTAAAATATGAATCGATTCACGATCCTTTTATAGAAAAAGAATACTGATTTTTTTTACTGAACAATTGAAAAAATAATTAAAAATAAACAGAAAGTAATTTTGATTCAATAAATAAAATTCCAAAACATAAAAACTTGCGGATCAATTTCATCTGTAAATGCTATCTGATTAAAATTTATATGAAAACTAAGCGGGAAAATAATATAAATATAATGATAGATGCTAAAATACGATGGAGATAGACCATCATCCATTAATATACTCGCCAATATTATCCATTGATTATATTCTTGTCGGTAAATTAGTATGTATAATATTGGCTCATTCATTGATTATTTTTTAAATTCAAAAATAAATAAAATGCCCATTATACTTTAGATCTTTTTAGATAAATATATATAATATAACTTATTTTTTGACTTTATCGCCTATGCAAAATAAGCAAGACATGAATTAAATTTAAGTAGTCGATTTTAGTCAATATTGGTGAAAACTGTGAGCCCTATTACTTTTTTTATACAAGCTTGGCAAAATTGTTTCATATCATAATTTATATAATGCATTTAAGAGCCCTATTACCTTTTTTATACAAACTTGGCAAAATTGTTTCATATCATAATTTATATACTGCATTTAAGAGTTATGCAATTTATATACACAATAGAATGATATAAAAAATATTATTTACTCTAGTGCAAAAATGAAAACTAAAGTACGTTAAATATAATTCTCGTGACAAAGTATAAAAAAATGGCGCTATTTAATGAATTTGATTAATATTAAATTATACATATATATAATATATCAAAAAAATGGATTATTGCTATATTATAAACTATTTAATTTTATAATAGTAATAAGAATAGGTATATAATATATCTAAATTTTATATATTCATAATTGAACTAATTTTTTAAATTAAAATGAAGTTGAATATAAAAAATTTTACTTAAAAAAATATGAAAAAAGCTATCTTTAATTCAATAAGCAAAAGAAATAATACTGAATGAATTTTTATATCTATTTATTATATAGTATAATGGAAATATTCGGATGTATAGGTTGTAGCTTCTATCCATTTAGGGTAACCGATAATAAAATCGTCAATTTGTTTTGATTTTATTTTTGGGTCAGACATATGATGTAATGAAAGAGCTATATCCAAAACTAAACTAATGTTATAAGAGTTAGATGCCTTCACCAAATCATTGTTCTTTATAATTTTATATGTTTTAATATATTTCTATTTGGTTTAAATTAAAAGTTAAATATCTTTATTGGTCATAAAAAGCAATAAGGTATTACATTACATAGTATATCGTTTTCAAAATCGAAACCCAATTGCTTAGTATCCAATCTTAAGTGATTGCAATTGAATTTGGCTCATTTATTCAATGTTTCGGCCATGGATCTTGGCACAATTGTATAAATTTAGTTGAAATTATTCAAGTTTTAGCTCAAATATGCAAGAAAAAATATGTCCCCTCAAAATCCAGATCAAGTGATATCTTGATTTAGGTAAATTTCAAACAATATTTATGTTAGTAGCAGGTTATTATATCTACCTTTAAAATATGTCAAAAATAATTTTAAAAATTTTTTAATGTCATATTTTTTCTTTGATAAGTCCATGGTTTAGAACTAGGGATGTACTGATATTTTATATCGGATCGGGCCGATATTTCGCCCATTTTAAAATATCGGTTATCAGCAAATATTATAAAATGATCTGATCCGATATAAAATGGCGCTTTTAACAAAATTTAAAAAAAGTTATATCTAAAAAACCATTTATTTTTATAAATAAAATCGAAATATATTTTTATGTTTAATTTTTTAAATAGTAATAATTAGTTAATAAACATTCTGCAATATAGTTATTTTTTTTCGCATTCTGTTTAAAAAAGTATTCATTAATCTCTTCAGAATCTGTTTTTAGTGATGCTAGTGATATTAACAGTCCCCATCACCGCAGACCGATCTCTGATAAATTGGAAATTTTGGTATTTCTAAAAAGAAATCTTCGGTATATTAATTTTAAATATTAATTTCAAATTTCAAAATATATTTGTTTATTACTAATTATGTAAATAGATTAATGTTATTACTTATTATATAAATAATAGCAATTGAATTGAATAAACTATAACTGATCATTATAATATATTTAAATGACATATGTTATGGTATAGTAAATTATAGATGTTGTACTAATAAAAAGTATATTAAAAATTAAAACCGGTATCTTTACAGAATACAAAATTAGATATGATATCGGATCGGCCGATATCAATTTAATATCTGGAATATCGGATCGGCCTCCAAAAAGTGGTATCGGTACACCCCTATTTAGAACAATAAAACTTACCAGATATGTTTATTGCTAATATACTTTTATTAATTATATTTTATAATCAGCACTATTTTTCCTTCATATTCCATTTTGTGGGTTATCAATTAATGTAGAACACAAAATCTTTGATGGGTAACAATATCTTAATAGAAAGAGATGGTGGCAGGGAATAATTTATGTATTTTGCTCAATTTAATTCTAAGAATCTTCTCCTTGTACCTCTAAAAATACCCCCTGTTCTTTCTTTTTTTCCTTTTAAGGAAAAGTTATACTCAATTCAAATAAACGGTATTATAAGTTATCATTTTGGTAATCCCATTGATATGCTCAAAATGGAATATTAATATTTTTTTATAATCGTAATGGGGGATGGATGATACTAGCATTGAAGTGATGTACTTAGATTTTTATTAAAAATGAACTAAAGTAAAATATAAATTTTTAAGATTTTCAGGGAAAAAGCCCCTGGAAATAAAGCACCCAATAATGAAATATTTTTATTTAATAAAATGCTCGGTATCATCGAAGGCGAAATATGTAAAAAGATTGTTTCTATCTATTATCGCAAACAGCATTTTTCTTAAAGAGCAATTTGAGAAAGGTTACAGATTTATCTTGAACTTATAATTCCTAATATTTTTCGTGTAATTTTAGGATTTAATTGAACAAAGATGGCGCACAAACCAGGCCTCTATAAATCTAAACCAATTTGAGCTAGAGTTTTAAAATTTTAAAAGTGACAAAATATATCAAGTTTCATTCCTTATAAAAATTGATCGACGAAAATTGCATTTTAGATCAATTTGTCACGGAAATGACCCAATTAGTTTGGCATATTACCTTCAAAGAATTTTTTTTCTCAGAGACCTGTAATTATTTTTAATTTACCGGCTCCGGTTTTAAAATTGATTTAAGACTAGGTTTGCAAATGAAATTTCAGGTCTGCCATTTTTTTTCTTCCAATATTCCAATATTTTACCTTCGTAAAATCAAGATAAAAACGAAGTCCGGCTTTAGATTTAAAATGGTTTCCATTGTTGTGAACGAGGAAAAAGACAGGCCTGTTTTTAAAGCGAGATTTTAGTGAAATCGGAGCAGAAGTGAAGGACCAATTTTTTAAATTCCAGTTTTGATCGTAAGGACTAATCGCCAAGGTTAGCTGATGAAAATCTATTTAATGTAAAGTAAAAAAATTTACCGGGTAATTTTTTATACTCATTTAAATTTTATTTTTTAAATCAAGTTATATGATTGCATCTTTGTAAGCCATAAGTAATTTAAAGATTTTCTTAACAATGAAAAAATTTAGTATCTCTATTTATAGCATATTTTTGTCGGATTTTATTAAACATTTTTGTATTTTAAATAAATTAAAATATAATGGCAGATAGCTATAAAAAACTTATTTAAAATAATAAAATATATTTTGAGATACCTGAAATTTCAATAGAAATCCGCTTGACTTTAATATCCATATCTATTTGTGATATATGAATTACTGTTTTATCAAAGTTCAATGGTTGAGTTGGAATGTAGAGGGATTTTCTTAAAAAAATATATACAAATGGAATATAAAATAAGTTTATTTTCTTAAATTTAACATATTTTTGGCAACATATATATTCTATCTACCTCAAGACACATTTTAGTGAAATAATAAGTAATTTCAGCATTTGAAGTAATGTTTTCCAGCAAGCTACGTAAGAATAATGATTTGATGACAAATTCATTACGTTCATTGGGAAACGATCTTTTCAAAATTTAGAAAACAGGGGGGGGGAGTATTATTAATCGTTTTCAATTGAGAAAAGATGTTACTACAATCGCTCTAGTGTTTTATAGATTAAGTCGATGTGAAAGGTTTATATCGGACGATGTACAATATCCGCCGATTCATAAATGTAATCCGGATTGCACTAGTATATAATGGAATTCTATTTAACATAATATTTTATTCATGCTTTATAGTTTTTAAATATTTATATAGTTAGAAAATAAGATTAATTTCACTAAAATGTGCATAAATTTTCTAAAAATTTTAAAAAAAGTTTGAATATTTTTTTTAAAAAATATCAAATTGCGTAAAGAGGATGTTATGAAAGTGAATAAAGATAAAATAGATATTAAAATAAATTAGTTTAAAATTTTTATTTTTAACTAATTATGCATTTTTATTGATATTTAAAACAACTAAATTATTCGTATTTTTTGTTGATATTATCGTGTTAAAATAAATATCCTATGCATGATACTTAAAAAAAATGGGTATATCCTAGTATGTACCTAAAATTTTTGTGAACCGGCAACCGAAAAGGCATACCGCATTGGACGTGATCATCACAATCGACCAAGAAACTTTTTAAGATATTAGCATCGTATTTTTGATTCAAGTAATCTTTGGTCAAAAATTCGTAACCGTAGTTATCCAAGGGCAAAATCCATATTCCTGAATCTTGAGAGTAAGGCTTTACATTATCTGTAAAATTTCCTTGAATTCGATAAAAGTCTCGGTTAAGATGCTATCAAGATTAATATTGAAAAAAATTATAATATAGAAAGAACACTACTTAAAGGAATTATATAACGCTTCCTATATATTTTGTATTTAAAAAGTAATATTATAAAAAAATTACATTAATAATGAGTTTGTAATAATAAATATTATAAATCATACAATTTTTTTTTACACATACAAACAACTTTAATTAATTAATTTTAAGTAACGTTCAAGAAATCTTTAAAATTAAACTGCAAGAATTTTTTCTTCAGCGAAATCATTTTTATAGTCAAAACAATAGATTCTTTATTATAAAATTGTTTCCTATATAGTCTTTTATAATTATGTCATTTAACTTCAACTAATATGTAATTACATTGACCTTTATAAGATAATATTAAATTTAAGAAAGTTATAATAATATATAATTCAAATAGCGTAACCTTTTAAAATATATATAAACATTCAAATATAACATATCTTCTTTCCCACCAAGTTAAGATCGTCTATCAATCTTTTTATTACCAAGTTCAAGTTCATCTATTAATCTTTTTGTTGGCTTTCGTTCTCTTGTTGAATAACGCGGTTGCCTTCCTTTTTGACTTGGTTCAATTGGTATTATTGATTTGGTTAAGTCTGGTTCTTCCCTTATTCGTAGTTGATCTGCGTGTTTTCGTACTATTTTATCTTTTTCTTCTACGTTATACGAGAATTTTGCTTGTTGATTTATTATTTTTCCTTCATGCCATCCTTTTTCAAGTGGATTTTTTATCCAAACTAATTCGTTTTTTCTCCAAAATCTCTATGCATGCCTTTGTTTAACTGGTCGTGTTTTACTACAGAGGTTTCTAATTTTTCAGTAATTGTTTACCCAGTCTAATAAAGTATTTAGTCTTCTCCCCATAAATAGTTTGGCAGGTATTCGGCCCGTTGAGAAATGTTCGGAATTTCTATATGTAACTAATACTTCATTAAGGCATTTTTCCCCATCATTTGTTTGTTCTCTATTAGCAAAATACCGATTTTTTATACTTTGTATGCATCTTTCAACTAATCCGTTACTTCTCGGATGGTATGGTGTAGTTTTTATGTGTTGTATATTCTTATTTTTGCACCATTTGTAAAATTCATTTGAAATGAATTGTGGACCATTGTCTGTGACAATTTGACGTGGAACACAATATCGTGTAAGCCATTTTCTAATCTATTTATTAAATTTTTACTTGTGGTATCTTTGATTCTATCGATCTCTATCCATTTTGAATATGCATCGATTCCCACCAGCCAATAAAATCCGTCTAGTGGTCCGGCAAAATCTAAATTACCCTTTCCCAGGGTTGTGCTGGCGGATTCCATGGGTATACGGCAACTTCTGGTATATCTCTGCGATGTTTTTGACACCCAATACAGCGGTTGACTAATTTTTCGACATCTTTATCTAATTTTTCCCACCATATATAATGTCTCGTAATGGATTTCATTGATGTAATACCGGGATGACCTGTATGTAATATCTGTAAAACTCGTTTTTGTAGTGAATATGGAATTATTAAACGACCATTCCAAAATAGGATACCGTCATTATTTTCTATTTCATCTATTCTTGTTCTAAAAGCTTGTAATTCTGAAGCTTGATTTTGTATATTTGTACCATTTAATAATATTTATCTCTTCTTAAAATTGGATCTTTAGCAGTTTCATCTCTAAGTTCTTTTATTGATAGAGTTAATGTGTCATAAGTAAGATTTCGTATATATTTTACAGTTTTATTTTCACTTGTTATTTTATTATCATTTTTCTCTATTGGGTTTCGTGATAAAGCATGTGCAATTATATTACTTGCGCCATTCTTATACATTATTTCATAATCATATGCAGATAATTTATAAGCCAAACGTAACAATCTTTGGTCTGTTAAGGCGTTTAAATCTCTGTTATCCCCATATATTTTTATTAAAGGTTTATGGTCCGTTCGTGTTTTAAATTTTCGTCCATACAAATAGTTATGAAATTTTTCTACGCCGTTTACTATGGCTTTGGCTTCTTTGTCGATTGTCGAATAATTCTTTTCAGCATCTTGTAAAGTTCTCGAGATGTAAGCTATAAGGTATTCGTTACTATTATCATATTTTTGCAAGAGTGCTCCAAATCCTTGGTTTGATGCATCTGTTTCTAGTATTAACTCAAGATCCGATTTATAAAATTGTATAGTATTGTGTTCTGTTACTATTCCTTTTGCTTTTTTAAATAATGCATCATCTTTTTTAGTCCAATTCCATTTAACATTTTTACTAGTTTTATTATGTAATTCGGCTATGATTCCATGTAAGTTTGGTATGAACCGTGTATAATAGTTTAATATACCTAAAAATGATTTTATGTCATGTCTATCTTTTGGCGTTGGATATTTTTGTATTGCTATTATTTTATTTTTATCAGGGTGTATTCCATTTTGATCTATTATGTATCCTAAATATGATACTTTTTCTTTCATAAAATTTATTTTGCTTGTTTTGACTTTTAATCCCGCATTTTGTAATTTTTTAAGGACTTGTTTTATATTCTCGATATGTTCAGTATCATTTTTTCCTGTGATTATAACATCATCTAAATAAACTGTTGTATCTTTACAATCAGCCAGTAAATCGTCCATATATCGTTGAAATATTATTGGTGCTGTACCTATACCAAAAGGTAATCGTAAATAGCGGTAGTATCCATTTGGTATTACCAATGTTAATAATTCTTGCGATTCATCGTCAATGCTCATTTGTAGGTATGCATCTTTGAGATCTAATGTTGTATATTTATTCCCAATCGCTATTTTTGCTATTAATTCTTCAAACGTTGGTAGAATGTTATAGTCTTTTAGTAGAAATTTATTTAATGCTACTTTGAAATCTCCACATAATCGTAGTTCAACTGAAGTTTTACGTACCACTACCATTGGAGTACTTGTTGTTGATGGATCTATTTTCTTGATTATATTATTTTCTTCTAAACGTTTCAGTTCATCTTCAATTTCTACTTTTAAAGGCAACGGTACTCTTCTAGCTGGCATGCAATTGGTTTTGTATTTTCTTCCAATTGTAGATTTACCGGTTCGACATTTTTTATTAATCCTAATTTATTATCAAACACCGTAGCAAATTCTTTATAGTTTGTCAATATTTACGTTATCATTATCATTGTATTTATATCTATTATTGATCATATTGATTTTTACATTTTTTGGTAACGATAAGTCAAATTCGATAATCCATGGAAACCAAATAGAGCTGCATCATTTGTTTGTGTGACTAATAATGGAAGCCATTTTATGTTATTATTTAATTGTACTTTTACATCAGCTTCACCCATAATTTTTATTCTATTATTTCCATATGTAGTTGGTGCTTTAGCTCTTCTAAGTTTTGGCCTTCCGATTTTATTCCAGGTTACTGCCGAGCCAGTATCATATTCCATTTTAATTTTTTGGTTGTTTATTAATACCTTTGTTGGATGTTGCCCATATTTGTATATTTTTCTTATTGAGACATCCGAATCGACTTCTTTATTATTGTAATTTGTTCCATAAATCTTTTCTTTAGCTTTACAACATACGGCGAAGTGGTTTGGTTTCCTACATTTGCTGCACAATTTTCCGTAGGCGGGACAATTTCTAATAGCATGAAACCGATTACAGAAATAGCATGGTTTTCTCCAATTACTATTATTATTTGTATGGTAGTTATTATACCCGGGCACTAGTTCTCTTTTTATATATGCTTTATTATCATTTTTGATAGTGCCGTTTATCATATTATTATTATAATGCCGATTATTTTTATCATGTTGATTTATCCGATTATTATTATCATGTTTATTCGGCTCTTTTATATACCATTATTCCTAGGATAGAGTAATTTTTGATATCAGTTATAATGTTTATTCCTCCATAAGCTATAAATAATTTTTTTAAAGTGGCGTCAGTTTGAGGAATATTTTTCACATTTAGTATATATTTGATATAATCAACGTAGTCCTCGATGGAAAAATCTTCGTTTTTAAAGTCCTGGAGAATAATTTTATCCATAATTTCTAAATATATGTAATTTTTTTTTTGTATAAACAGAATTTTTTTTTTATAATTCTATATATTATAAAACTTGACCGAAAACCGCGCGACTTAGATTTTTTTTTTATTTTGTCGCCATTTTTTATAGTCAAAACAATAGATTCTTTATTATAAAATTGTTTCCTATATAGAGTCTTTTATAATTATGTCATTTAACTTCTACTAATATGCAATTACATTGACCTCCATAAGATAATATTAAATGTAAGAAAGTTATAATAATATATAAATCAAATAGCGTAACCTTTTAAAATATATATAAACATTCAAATATAACAATCATAAATGTGAATGAAAAAAAAAATTACGATAATAAATTGTCTATTCAACACCGGTTTTTGTGGATCCGCACTGAAAGGAAATCCTAAAGGAGTAAAGCATGCTAGAATTAGGTTTATTCCAAAAAAAGCGCTAAGCAAAAAGAGTAGGGAATTGATTTCTCGTTTTGGCAGAGTGTATATGCGCGTGACCTGTGAATGATAGAATTATAGTAGTGTGTATTAAAAGAAAAGAAGTAAATAAGATAGTTAGTAAGGTTATCTAGGACCAGATTAAGCACTCCCACAAAACCGATTTTTTTTTCAAAAAATTGGTTGGCCGCGTTTAGATTTAATTTAGAACCTAAATGGAATCTTGTTTTATTTATCTCCCAAAATTGGATAAAATATGTGTATTTTTTTTTGCTCAAAATAATTCATTTTTATATGCATTACAATTTATTCCATATATTCTTAACAACCACAGAAACGAATGTATTGACATAATATCCCTTTTCATATCATTGCCGCTCATCTGGGCAGAGCCCTTTAACAAGGGGGAGTCGGTATGAGAAACTTCTTCATTGAAATTTCAGGGGGGGTAAGAGGTAACTAGAGGTCAGCACAGTTCAGCACGTGGAAATTTTCTATCAGATTTTTCGGCCTGGCCAGTATAAGTTGTCTGTCCTAGCCCGTAATAAATTTTTATGAAGGAAAACGTTATAAATTGGCTTATCAGTTTTAGAAACATTTTCAAAACTTTGGCCCGGCTAATAAAAAATTTTGAACAATTTGCCCGACCCGGCCAAAAAATCTTTATTTTTGGCCAAAGCCTTTTGGTCCGGGCTGACCTCTATGCGTAGTGAGATTTTATGATACAATATTCTAAGATTATTTGATTTTATAAATATTAACATAATATTTATACCCATCTCCCCTCCTCCCTCGCAGTTAAAAATTTATTTTAAATTTATATAGTTATTGATTAAAAATAGAATAATAAATGCTAAAATGTTATATTCCTTGTTGGTATTTTATTCATGCCAAGCAGTATGAAGCAAAAGAAATATGACTATCAAATTGGCGGGTGAATATCCATAAACATAAACAGAAAAAACATGGCATACAAGCCTAAATATTGATATTATTAAAGTAAATTCATCATTGTTGGCGAACAAAATCGATTAAAGAGGATAACTTTCATATTTTTTTAAATTTAATTATCATCACCATCTAAACCAGAAAATCCACTAGAAAAAAAACCCTCCTCCAAATCCCTTCTCCCCAATAATTCTGCATTTTTGGCCAGATATTCGCCATGATACTATAGCTAATTGATCATATTAATAATAAATATATCTTAGAATATTATTCAAATTAACTGAGCTACTATTTAATCTTTATTCAACAAAATCATAATTATTTCAAGTATCATAATATAAAACAGGTAAAACGTATAAACATTAGTTGGTGATAATCCACTGATTGTCTTTACCGTAATATAAAAATTAGTTCAGAGCTTATAACATTTTTACTCCTTAATAGCATTTTTGCTTCTTACTAGTATTTTTGCTTCTTACTAGTATTTTTGCTTCTTTATTTTAATTTTTGATTAAAAAATTTGCAATAAACATATTTTGAAATAATATATAAAATTATAAATTTCTTATGAAATATATTATTTTTACAATAAATCACGCCGTTGTATTTTATATTTTTTATAAAACAAAATAATTTTGTGTATGGTATATAATTGAGAATTTATAAAAATAATAATAATTAGGAAAGGGGTGGGGGGGGGGGTAATTTTCCACTGAGGCTAGAGGGGTGGGGTAGCCTCCAGGGAGGGTTCTCTACATTGGGTTTAGAAGGTCTCACGTCTATGGGGCTAATTTAATAAAAAAAATTGGTTTGAACAAGCTTTGTGAGCTAAAATGCACGCGTTTATCATACTTAACCTTTTTATTTCGAAATGGCATTTTATATTTGTAATAAGAAAAGGTTAATATTTGATAATCCAGGGTGCCAAACCAAACCGCGTACCTGAAACTAATTCGATAATCTTCCGAACTTTAGCCAGAGTATTATAATTATTAAAAATAACTGGTTTAACGTTTCAAAAAGAGGTTTAAAAATTTTATTTATTTATAATAATTTCAACATAATTTAGATATTTTATTGAGAGCATAGGTGATTTGGCCTGGGTCAGCATATATTATAAGTTAAACTCTTAGTTTATCTCAAACATAATAGGTAAGCAGATTGGTCCCTCGTGATATCCATTTGTTTTCATCGTAAGAAATAAATCGATAATAATTTTGTCGATTCCAAAATTCATGAATAGAGTCAAATAAAAAGCTGGAATAATTTAATTTTGGATAGGATTTTAATGGTGGACAGTTATGTGCATTGCTATTAAATTTAATGTAAGGCTCCAATCCGAACCTAAACCGATAACCAGGAATTAACCGTTACTATTTACAGAGATTAAATAGAACCTTTAATAATTTTTGATATTTATCATTGTAAGATATATTTAAAGGTCACCTTATATTTGTATAATATATTATTCCAATATGTAATATTATATTATCGAGGTTAATCAAATTGCATATTATTAGAAGTTAAATTGAATAATTATATAAATGTATATATACCAAAAGAATTACAAATAAAAGTATTATCGTTTTTTTAAAAAAACTTTAATCGATATAATATTTGGCGACGAGGAAAAAGGTCGCGCGGTTTTTGGTCTTCGGTCAAGTTAAATATTATATAGAATTATAATTTTTTTTTTGTTAAAGAAAATAAATAAATAAATTGATTTAGCAATCATGGATAAAAGATGAATGAGATAAATGGGCTACTGACGACTATCCTCAAAATTTTCTATTGATAGAGGAGAAATTGATTTCATTAGATTAAGTCGCGGCCCTACTGAATCCGTAATAAATAATTAAGAATTCGCGATCAATTAATCGCCGGAAAACTATGTTTACGATACCCAGATACTAAAGACGAAGACCAACCGTGAAACTTAAACAAAATTATAGAATTTATACGATAAAGGCATGATGCAGCCTATTTAGATTTCCATGAATTAGAGAATTTATGATAATGATAAAGGGCACTATCAAAATGATTGATGCAGCCTATTTAGATTTCCATGGATTATAGAATTTATGATAATGATAAAGGGCACTATCAAAATGATTGATGCAGCCTATTTAGATTTCCATGGATTATAGAATTTATGATAATGATAAAGGGCACTATCAAAATGATTGATGCAGCCTGTTTAGATTTCCATGGATTATAGAATTTATGATAATGATAAACCTATTTAGATTTCCATGGATTATAGAATTTATAATAATGATAAAGGGCACTATCAAAATGATTGATGCAGCCTATTTAGATTTCCATGGATTATAGAAATGAGAGCACTATCAAAATGATTGATACATCCTCGTTGGATTTCCGTGGATTATAAAATTTGACACAGCCTATTTGGATTTCCGTGGATTATAAAATTTGACACAGCCTATTTGGATTTCTAGGGATTATAGAATTTGACTTATCGTTACCAACATATGTAGAAATTACATGATCAACAATATAATGATAATGGTAACGTGAATATTGACAAACTAGAGTAACCTGGAGTACTCCAATGGTAGTGGTAAGCTTCAGGTGAACTACGATTGAGAATAATTCTACCAACGAATCGCTATAGATCTCAAATAAATGATGATAAAATAACAAGCGAAAATAAAACAGTGATGGTGGGAACAATTGGTCGAAAAACTAGAATCGCCATCACAATCCTGGAAAAGGGAAGAAGAAAAAGGGGAAAAAAATAAACGTACAAAACCGTATTAAAACATCCCGACCAACTACGCGAAATCAAATCAATAATAACAATGAACCAAGTCAAAAAGGAAGGCAAACGGGTTATCCAACAAGGGAACTAAAGCCAACAAAAAGATTAATAGATGAACTTGAACTTGGTAAATAAAAAGATTGGTAGACGATCTTAAATTGGAAGATATGTTACATTTGAATATTTATTATTGTAAGATATATTTAAAGGTCACCTTATATTTGTATATTATATTATTCCGACATGTAATATTATATTATCGAGGTTAATCAAATTGCATATTATTAGAAGTTAAATTGGATAATTATATAAATGTATATATACCAGAAGAATTATAAATAAAAGTATTATCGTTTTTTTAAAAAAAAACTTTAATCGATATAATAATTTTGTCGAGATATATTTTAATAGAAGAGAATTTTAACTATTTTAATAGTAAAAGTTTCAATATTATTATTTTGGAATAGCGATAAATTTTTTTAATAGGTTCTCTTATTCTAAAAAGTTAAGATTCGAACCGGGTTTTAAAGGTTCAACCTACACCTAAACTAAACCGGCATTCCTTATGATTCGGATCCCTGATTATACATCCATAAACATCACATATGTCGAAAAATTATTCATATATAATTACACTATAAAAAAAATATTTCGTACGAAAAAATGCAGCAGAATATTAATCACAAAGCCACTAAAAATGGCAACGATATAATCGGGTGAAATTTTGTGTCCCGTAAACCCAAATATAGGTAAGGCAAATCTAGGGCATACCACTCCGGTATACAAGGTCAGTGTAAGAGGGAAGCAGAGGATTATGAAGTGCACCCAGCAAGATGATTCTTAAATGTAAAAAATAAATGTGGGAAAAATAAAATAAAATATAATTTAGTAATAGCAATGATCATTAATTTAGGGTTGTGTTTTTGAGCGGTCAAATACAATCGGCCATTTTATTTTATGTTTTTATGACATTGTTAATTTATTTAGTATAATATAAATAGTATAATATACAAAATAGGTTCATATATGTATACATATAATTTTATATTTTGGTTGATTCGTTCTAGAAAGAATGTTTCGGTTGCTATTGCAGTCTTTTTTCGAATTTAACTGGATTATAATCATTTTCTTTTATATTTTTAGAAAATCGTTGGTATTATCTAATTTTTCCCTTAGTCAAAGTTTTAAATCGATTTCGGTTCTTGGTATAAATAATATTCCGAGATAATTTATTTTTGAAGCAGAAATTGAACTTTGAAGGGCAATTATGACATTTTCCACTTCCTTCAAAGCGCAAGGTGGGTAAAATCCATTTTATCGGTTTGATGTCGAGATCTGAATAATATTTACAGATTCAATACCTAGTCCGATGTAAAATTACTTGCAAAGGCGAATTATTTCATTTTAATTTTTTTGTTAGCGTTATTTCATTTATAAGACATTTTATACTAGATTATTTTCTTTCTAATTTTAGATTCACCAGTTTGTTAAGATGGAATAAAAATTAAATTGTGATTTCTACTTGGTAAAATATTGTCCTCTAATTCGAGTGGAAGATTGTCATTTTGATAATGCTCTTTGTCAGATTTGAGCTATTATAATATCATTATTTTGGATTAGGAGTCAAATTCATTAAGGTGTCTATTATATGTGATAAATTCAATCAAGAAAATAAAATTTTAGAGGATTTGACTATAATTTACCATATTTGACGGATCAAATATTTTTTCGGTCAATTGACCGTATTTGACCGACTTTTCAACCCTGCTCTAAGCACAGGAAACGATTAAACATTCATTCAATATTCTTTAAAAACAATTTTCAACTATGTTAAAAAATTAAAGCTTCTGCTATAAACCGTTTAAGAGGTCTTTCAGACTGGACGTTTTTCAATATGGTAAAAAATAAACTAAACTTAATAGTTTAAGTCTAGAAGAGTTGTGTTTATTTTATTTTTAACCGTTTTGAAAAAACGTGTTTGGAAATAATCTACATAGTAAACTAATTCTTAATACAAATTAAATATACTTTCATTATTTATCCATTTTCCTTCAAAAGTATAGGATCCTAGAAGGGCCGCTATCAGCCAAATCCAATAATAATTGACCAAATCCACATTGAGGATGATTAGGGTGAGACAAAAGAAGGAGGTGATTAAAAGAGATGCGTGATAATTCAATAAGTACGCGTTCTTAATCTTATAAAATAATTTGATAAATTGTTTTTTTCTAAAAAACATTATATTATTTATTAAATACAGTAGTTCAAATCAAAATAATAGGAAAGATTTAAAATTACAAATCTTTATTATAAAGAGTAGCTGGATAGTGCTAAATTTTGCCAGGTCAACATAAAAGCCAAATTAAAAATATGACTGAAACTTGATAGAACTCTGTGACTAATATCAAATTTGTTTTTGGCAAAAAAAAAATTGATCTGATTCGATTAAATAAATTATTTTTTTGAGTATAGATATATAGCGACCGGTTTAGGTTTTATTAGTAAAGAAAATTATATATATTATGAACAAAAAGTATAATAACGTAGGCTGCATTGCAAACCGTCATATTTTCAAAATTAATTATTTTCTTGCATCAATATAAAATAGAAGGGTGTTTTTTGTTTATTAATTAAGGGCTGTGCCGATATTTACAGCTTTAAAAAAATAGGATCGGGCCGATATTTTCAAAAAACCGATCCGATGTTATTAACATTGTTTTTGATTTTATATTGTATATATATATATATATACATCAGTGGATTAATAGGTGCCATCTGATGAAAGTAAAAGGGATCAAGACCCAGAGGGCGACTAGATACAAGCTGGAAGAAAGAAATAAATAATGACATGAAAATGCTAGATTTGGTTAGTGGCGATGACCAGGTTACCAGTAAATGGAGAAATGGGGTTAGATGGAAAACTAGTTCTTCACCCGGGAAAGGGTTCAACAAATGTAGAAGAACACAGTTTCCCAATAATGATAAATGAATAAAAAGAACCAAAATGTAATTGTGTAATTCAAAAAGAAAATGATTTAAAAATATTTAAAGTGTCATACTCAGATGCAGCCATAAACATTGCTCATATTTTTTAAATAAGATGACTAACTTTTGGGAAATATAAAAAAACAAAATACACTTCGTGATAATGCACCAAATATTGCTTTTCTCGTAAGAAACGGAAAATTTCAAAGCGTTTTTTATTTTTGCTTTATAGTTTAGAGCTTAGCTTTTTAATGGCTAATGGTTCAAAAATGTTAAATAAAAATCATTCTAAATATCGAATCTGTATTGGTTTCGTATCGGTTATATATAAACATCGGATTGATGAAGAATTTGCGAATCAGCAAAGTTCTAATGATTGATAACTATTATAATAAATAGCAATTAAATTATTATTTGTTTCTCCGAAAATTTGCAACAAAATGTCAGATACGCAGGTCGATATGTAAATATAGAATAAAAAATACATTGAAATAAAATTAAAACAACTTTACTTTTGTCAAAGGATTGAAGTCAGAAGAATGAACCAAAAATAACCCTATCAAGGTGGGCGTGAAATAGAGGCCGACGATCAGAAAATTTCTATTGTACCAAGACATTTGTCGGTTTATAATATTGACGAAAAGGGCTACAGTTAGACTTATAATTAAGCTAACCACCCAGCCGAGGATTATAATTGATATGGCTAGAATAGGCCCCTATAAAATAAATAACGATTGGGTTAAGTAAAATATTATTATTAGTTAAAGAAACAAAATAATGATAATTGAATTCGATCTTCCTTATAAGGTTAATTTATCTACCTTATGAGGCTAATTTATCTTCCTTATAAGTTTTGATTGGTTTCGACGAAAGCCTAAAACCGACCAATAATATTAATAAATAAAGTGAAGGATTAAGAAAATATTTTTAAGCTATTTATAATATATAAAATTGGTTCTACTATTATTACCATACATTCGCAGTTAGCGCAAATTCACGGCGAAGTATACAAAAATTAATGTATAATTATTATTATTATTATATTATATTGTATTTTTTATACTTCGCCGTGAATTCAAGCTAACTGAGAATTCAGGGTTACGCAGTAAGCTCTTTTTAAAAATAAATTTGGCAATCAAAATGGTTTCTACTATAAATATATACTCAGAGTTGGGCAGTACTGCGAATACTTGAAATATAAGATACAAGATCCTTTTGTATCTTGTACTCTGTATATTTTTATTTTCTTGTCAAAAGATACAAATACTTTTTTCCCCGTGATTCTTGTATTAATTTTTTTATTTTGTTTTAAACTTTGTTTCCTATCTCTATATTTTAAATTAATATTTATTATTATTTAAAATTTAACTATCAACTTTACTGTGTTCTGTGCAAATTAGAAAATACAGTTTTATAATTTCATATCCATATTTAAATTGATCAATGTATTAAAATAATAATCATCATCTTATTTTATAGGGGAATTATTGTCCAATAAAAATAGTATTATTTGGGTTATTTCGATTTCTTAATTGTATTTGTTTAAATTGATTTAATAAGGATGTTACCATTAGGTATTTAACAGGTTTGTCCCATTCCAGCTAATAGTTTAAAATTGTAAAAAGATTAGTTCTATTTCGGTTATTTCTTAACAACTTAACGGTTAATTCTTGTTTATATATGTTATGGCTTTTATATTACCTTATCTATTATTTTGTTGACACCTAATAAATAATATTTTAAAAAATCAAAAACCAAAAAATTAAAATAAATAGGTTGAATTTCTACATTTTATTATAAAATATGAAAAAATATTATTAGTTAAGCCAATATATTTAAAATAAATAAATACAATTTCAAAAACTGTTACGGTTCTATGTATTGCGCTTTTATTTAATCTCCTTTCAAAATTTTCTTATAACGCTTTGGTTGATTATTTCGGTTTTGGGATTTGGTTAGATACCATGATAATTGTATTTTTGAGGCTATTATTCACCAATGTTTGATTAAATTTATACATCTCTTTATTTTCACTTTTATTGCTGGGTCATACACAATTTCTTTATAGCAGTTGAGTGAGAAAGTATGAAAACCACGGGATTTCACTTCTTCAAAAAAGTATCTTGTACCTAAGATACTCTCATTTGACAAAAGGTAAAGTATCTTATACCTTTACCCTTTTTGATATCATACGATACATTTAAGGTATCTGTATCTAGATTCTTTTTTTTAAGAGGCCACCCAACTCTATCTTAACTTTAATATCAAATCATTAAGATAAAATTATAAATACTCTCACCTTTAAGCAGACACAACATGTCTGACGTGTTTTTTTTTCGTTATCATCCTGATTATATTTATTTACTATGCTATCAAAAAATCGATTATCTCTTAAATCGGGACATTTTCCGTCATGCGCATGGCAAAGAAATGTAGTTCTAGATATACGGAACCTGGTGTAGTACTTGGAGATCAAATATAACCAAGTAAGAGCGCAGATAAATAGGCATATTAATCTGTCCCATCGCTTGGGATAAACTATGAATTTCAAGCCTATAATCTCTAAGGTGACCATGGGCGATAATTTTGATTCGCTATTATTTTTGTCGCTTCCAATGGCTTCAAGATAATCGGAGTATGATAAAGATTCCACACTGCGAATCAGGGATAGTAAATCTTCACCTTTTAAAAGCAAAGCATGTTTATTTTTTTTATTAATAACAACTTAATATTAGTATACTTATAGAATTAGGCTCAACATTATAAGTGGAATAAGCAACCTGATATATAGGAACCATAATTTGATTGTCAAATATAAAAAATTGGCGAAAATAAAAGTTCGACGATATAGGCACCCATTAAATTTCCACACCCAGTTTTACCAGCATTTGGGATTTAAATCAAATTGATTTTAATTTTCACACCCTGTTTACCAGCAGCTTGGACAGTCCCCGATTTGATAAACCTTGTAGTATCATGACGCGTGTGGTAGACGTAATTATTATCAACGAAAGCCAAATCGATCGAAGATTGTATATCGAATAATTTGTGAAATACGTAAAAATCTGTTTGCATGGGTATCATCCCGCTTCTAAATATAGCGAAATATAAACTGCCACCGAATGGGTTTTTAAAAGAGCGAGAATAAGCCTTGAGTAACAAATTGTTATCGCCTAAGAAGGGGAAATGTGGGAAAATAAATCAATGAATACAAAAATTAAAACAACTTGAAATAAGCATATCCTACTTATCTCATTATATGGTTTTGCAAAAAATATCGAAATTCACAAACTTTAATGAAAATTAAATAATTTTAATTATAAAAATAAAAACATGTCCAAAATATAATTCTAAAAAATATTATAAATTTCTAAAATTTAACGCGATTTTATTAAAATTTTAAAATTTGCGAAAGTGTTAGGTTTAACCTGCCTGGTCCCATCAAAATAAAATGTTAGTTTCGATCAATAGATGGAGTATTTAAAACAATAATACAAGTTTATCATATAATATCAATTTATGGAGTTCTTATTCATATCATAAAAGCGTTTATAAAATTTTAGCATAAAAATACCGGTTTGAAAAAGGAGCAAACGACCTGGCGTACCACAAGCGTCCAAATTTATAACGCTGGATACTTGAGAGGCCCATTTGTGGTTGGACATAAATCCATGACTACCCTAAATTAAAATTCTGTTATATTCATATTATAAAGCAACATTAGACCCCTGGAAGGTCTGATTGTGAATATTTTAATAAGGCAAGTTGGTTCAGGTTTCTAAAACATATAAAAAGAATGCCTAAATTTGACTAGTCTCTAAACTTAGTTATAAGCAATTCAATGAATAACACAAAATTTTAAACAATACAATACAATATAAATTTTGTATAAATACTGATTCAGAGCATACATTTAGTCTAATAAAAAAATTCTGGAAAGAAGGTAGCAATCAATTATCTATGTCAACTTTAGAAGCGAAAATATCAAATATAATTTTAAATATACTTGTAAAGATTTAAGGAAATATGTAACAAAAGGTAAATATTTAATTAATAACATAAAATCTTCTAAAATATGGATGAGAATAAAAATATGTGCTATTTTTTTCAATATTTTAGGTGTATGTTTCATATAAAAAAATTAATAATTTTTTCAAATTATGGCTAAGTATTTCTTGTTTTTGTTGGCAACCAAGATTATAGGTAGTAAGAAATATAAATGATTTTAATATTAGAATAAATTTAAAATTTTATATTTTTATACAAGTTTTGTTTTCTATTTAAAGATATTTATAAATAAGTGACACATCACTGGTATTTAAAAAAAATTGGCAGGAGACAGCAGCATGCAGCTTAAAATTAGTGGGGCCATGAAATATCTAGAAATGGTGTGGTGCAAAGGTCTATCATATTAGTTTTAATCTTATGGCCAGTTAAATTAGATAGATAAAAAATATAATTTTATTAAAACCCATTTTTAATATATTAACCTTAACCTCATATCTTCCATGCATTTAATTAAACTGAGCCAATCTCATTTTTTTATACTACCCCTTGTTACAGCTACCTGTTTTTATTAAATATATTTTATCTGATTATAACACTTTCAGATGAACGTTCCTTGGTTGAGCTATAAACAAAGAAGATTTGTGGGTATAATAACAAAAAAAACTTGTAAAATCATTTCCTCTGCACCATTGAATAAAAAAATGATTGGAATTTCAATTGGAGTTGCTGATGATATTAATAAACTCATAATTTCAATCATTATAAAGCAATTGACAGCATCATCATTGGCCCCTTTAATTATTTCAATTATATATATAACTATATAATTTTTCAATAATATTTAACTATTCACACCTAATCTGATGATCAGTTAATATTTAGAAGACATATTTAAATATTGATCATAAGATATATGATAAGATATATTGTATCAAACATACCTGGTGAGTTTAAAACACTATCATAATGGCAATTTAACAAAATGGCTTTCTTTTTATTTGATCCTAGTTTAACAATAATATTTGTAATATTAGCATATGAATTTGTAAAAGATTCTAGGAAATGTAAAGAGAATGTGCCAGAAGTTGTCTGAATATCTATAGATACTTCATGTTTTGAATTAGCAATTTTTTCATTAAGTATATTGTATAGTAATGAAGTTGCAAGGTCTATATTTGTAGTTCCAGATAGACGAACATTTGTGTTGGTTATAAATTTATCTAAATCAGTCAAAGCATTTTTTTCTAAAAATCCATTATTGGCATAGGTTTGGTTTGATCTAGGGTGTTTTATTATCCATCCTATTATATAAGTTATAGCTATCAATATTAATAAAAATAATAGGAAAAAATGATTAGACGGCTTATTGCCTGGAATATGAAATGTAGAATAATCTTTCTGCATAAGATAATTATTCATTTGACTATTTTTTCTAAGCATTTTTTAAAATTTAAATATTAAATATATTTTTTGACTCCACTAACTATGTATTTATTTAAATCAGGGTTTTGGATCCAATCCTTAGCCACTTCGAACCCTCAATATTTTATTGAACCAGAACCCTTTTTTAAATTTAGTAAATGTTAAAATATATTAAAAATAAGTATATAAACTATATTAAAATTAAATATAAAAAAATATGCAATTTCTATAAAACATACAACATAATTTTTTTTTTAATATAAAAACATATTTTGATAAAAATTATTTTGTAAAGATCTAAACTTTTTTTATTTGTAGGATTATTAAATTTAAATAAGACCAAAGAAAAGATATAATCACAAGATAAAAATAGCTTATTTAATTGCAAGTTGCAAAGCACTGTCAAAATTAGGCATAAAAAATCGATATTTTAATTTTAGCATTTCCATTTTGAAAGATATCATGGTAATTGGCTTATATTTTATTTATAATGATAAATTAATTTTATGGTAGGGCTTAATAAATAAAGTTGATGAAAAACTGATGCTCCTGTTATTTTTACTAAATTTTATATAAGTATTTATTTTACTAGACCACGAACCCTGACCACCTGAATCCTGCCTGGTTAATCATATTTTATATTTAGTATATATGAATGATGGTTAAGTCTAACTAACACATTATTTTAATAATAAATAATTTATAATCAGTTAAATGATTATAAGGATTCTGAATTTAAAAAACATATATTATTAAATAAAAAATTATACTGAACATTAAAATATTGATGACTATTTTATATATTGTCATTTAAATTCTATGATCCAAGTTTTTTTTTAAATATAAAAAATAATATTTTATAATATTAAAATAAAAATGAATGTAAAATTATTTCTATTAAGATTATTATTTATTCTATTTATATTTATGTGTTCATGAAAATTGGACAAATATTAGGAGAAATTATAAATTTTTAAAATCTGTTTATGATGTCATTTTTTCTTTATTAAAATTAATATCATTCTCATGAATAGAATTGAGGATAAATTTAATATTATTAAAGAAATTGATCTCGTAAACAGATTTTAAAAATTGATCAACTGTTAAATCATGTCGCATCGGATGCCAATTGAATACGACCTAAGACGTTCTCTATTCCGTTACATGGCCCTGTTTTTAACATTTCATAAGTAACCTTTAATATTTTAACACATCTTCACAAGAGTTATTTTGACTTGACATTAATATTGCATTTTTTAAAAAAAATGACACACATCTTATATTTTTTTTAAAAAAAATCCTAAATTGCTGATCATTTCTTTAAGCACCCATTAGTTTTTAACACTATAGTTGTAACACAACATAGCCCTAAGACAAGATCTTAGTTTTATAACATACATAATAGATGATATTTATAAAGAATTAAACAATCGTTAATGTTATATATATTCTATAAACATAAGATTTAAAAAATATTTAAGCATATCTTGGCAAAAATATAAAATACTTTTGCTTGTTAAATTTGACTATGACTAACGAAGGCCTGTTAAGATTTTAGTAATTAAACAGGTTTACCAAATATATTCTGATGTTTTGACATTTATCCTATCATATGTACAATTTTTTTTATTTTTTCAAAGTACACAAGAAAATTTATATAATTCGTGCTCTAACCTATAATAATAATGAAATAAGGAGACTCAAATATCAAAGCATATATAGGGGAACAAGGGAATTAGGCTTAATATTAAAGAATTTTTCAAAAGCAAAACTAGATTCATATACAGAAAATCAGTTAAGATCATATGATAAATTGATAAATGACACAAATGAAGTTGATTTGTATAACTGGATAACTAAGGAATCTCAAGTTCCTCCTGAATTTGATTCTGAAGTTTTGCAAAATATTAAAAGCTTTATCAAAAATGATCTCTCCCACATAATAAAAAGAAATTATGATTAACATGGTATATACTTTAAAAAATTTTTATAACTATCTTTATTAAAAATTTGTTTATTTTATTTTATATATTCTACTATAATTGTCATAAAATCAAAAGTCCTAAACAGCCATATACATATTTAAATGATTATTGAGATGGAAGTATTTAATAACTAAATATTCTTTGACTAATTAATTTAATACATAAAATAATATTTAGATTATCATCTGGTTTAATAATATTTGTAAACAAAATATAATTTATTATAGAAAAATTATTTTTATAAAATTCATGATTTAAAATATATCATCAAAAGTTATATAATATAATTACGATGCAAATATACAATTGTAATATGTGTAAAATGTCATTCATGAAAAAATTGTAATAATTTTAAAAAGCAACTATTATAAAATATCACAATTGTATTTAAAATTTTTATAAAAAAAATTATTTTATAAATAATAAATTTATTTAGTAATATCAATTTATTTTTTTGTCTAAATAATATAATTACTAATGTATCCAAAATCAATTAAATATCATTAGCTACTAAGATTTCAGATTTCCTCTATGTTCATAAATTTTTTGGACCATATTTTCTAGATGAAGTTTCTAAGTATAAAATAAAATATTTTTATGGCATATAAACAAAAAATGATCATGTAAAATTTTTAAAAAAATTATAGTTGGGATAAAAATTCCCATATTCTGATTTTTTTATGTAATTGTAGTTTTTAATGAAAAACCTCAGTTTTAATAAAAAATGTTAAAATTTTTATGGATAATTAAATTTTTCAAGCAAATTTTCATGGGGTGGGTCTAAACATTTTTAGAAAGATACCATGTGCAGGGTGTGAATAATTTTTTAGCCAACTAAAATCCAATAGTTACTTTATATCAAATAGTTGAGATGTCACAAGAATCATTATTGTCATTAGCTTGATGACTTCACTTTAATAATTACAAAATGTGACCAAAATTATTCTGAATAACTAAATTCTAAAAATCAGATAGCTGCAAAAAAAATCTGGTCAAGTTAAAAAATTTATAAAATCGGAGCCAGGATTTACTATAGGTGTGCCTCTCTCTAAAGGCTTTTGATAAAAAATATAATCAAGTTTTAGAAAAATTAGCAATTTTAATATAAAACTTTAACCATCATCAAGAGTAGTTTTGTATAACAGCTCGATTTGAGTCGGAGTTTACCATTTTTAAAAATTGGCTCAAATTGAGCCATTTAACAACACTACGCAAGAGGCTGAGTGGGATAGCGGCACCACACCTCATATATTTTAAAATCTTTATTATAAAAAAGCGTAGATAACCTGATTTTAACAGTAGCCTATTTTATCCTAATTTCTGAAAAGTTTCATATATTTTTATTAAATAGTTACGGTGACCACAATTTTATATGTACAAATCGAATATTTGTTTTATGAGTATACTTATAACTAATTTTTCGCATATTTTATATAAAACTCAACAAAAATGAAAAATTTCATACATTTTATTGCCATAATTATGATAGAAATTAATTTATTTAAAAAGCCATTCTTCCATAGATAAAGTTTTTCTAATTGTTTCTGCTATTAGAATCATGCGATTATTGGTAATATTTGCAACTACAAATATAGACGATTATAAGATGTAGAAGAGCTCTATTATTTCCTCTCCTGACTGATCTTACTATTTATAAATAATTATTTTAATTTGGTTTTAGGAAATATTAAACAAGAATTCACTGTCACAAATTAAAAAAATTAATAACTAATGCATATTTAAATTATAATTTTAAAATTAACTAATATTAATATTTAATAAAATCCATAATTTTCAAAAATTTACCAGTGGTTTATTCGTCAAAGAATTTTTACATGTTTTAAATGGATTTATTTCGACATGATTTAGAATTTTGTTTATCTTGCATTAAATCATAAATTTTTATATTTATTAATCAATTTAAGATTAACCTAAATAAGTTTTAAAATATCAAAGCTATAAAAATTTAATGAGATCTTTTAAAGGGGTAAGCGAAATCCCACTTAATCTTGTGCCATCACCTAATCTCTCGAGGTCAATTTAAAAAGAGAAATATTAATTTCTTTACTATTAAAAAAAAACTGGGCAATTAGATTATACTTAGCATATTTAAATAACTAACCAAATTAAATGTATATGCTTTACCTTTCGTTCAAGATCGATTAAATTGTGAACTTTAGGTTTGAGTAGATCGGATAAAAATGTCGAAAAGAGATCGGAAGACATCAAATTTTGAATAATTTTATCGTTATATTCAGACATATTTTCATCCTGAGAAAGATGACGAAAAAATGAGTCATCCTGATTATATATAATATACAGTTAAAAAAAAATTAAAACACAGGGTCTGTGGAGCTCGCAATGAAAATTATAAACGCAGGAAAATATTATATAGTAATAAGAATCAGTAATCTGGATGGGGGTTTTCGATGATAATTAAGTTTTGTTTATTATTTATTTCTCCAGTATTTTATACTAAATGGTCAGTATTTTAAAAAAAATTCACAGTATTTTTATCATAAATAATAAAACCTTTTACCTATAACAGTGTTTAGAAATAAAAAATGTTGGTAAATATATAGTAAAAAAAATTAGCATAATTTATATTACTAGTAAAAAAACTTCATTATTTTAATTAATTTGGCAATATACTAAACAATCACCTTATATCTAATTTTGGCGAATCAAGCAAGAAAAAACTAGTTATCTTATCTTGACTAACCGTAGACCACATCTAGCTTTGGCCCATATACTTAGTGTAAAATAAAGGAAAAATAACCCAAAAGAAAAACACCCGGAAAAGCTTAAATGATTATTAATATAAGACTTGCTCTCTCTTACTAAACTAAAATTATACTACAGGCAACTGGTATCGGCAAATAGATAATAGTTCAACCCAAAGAATGTTCAATTTAAGGAAATCTTTTAATTGGATGAGATATATAAAATTAAACAAGTATCTGAAAGGAGTAGAATTAAAGGTTAGAGATATGGGTTATTAGTGTTAATAAAAGATTTGAGAGACATGGGTTAGGGATTAAGATGTATTAAAAATGGTTTAAAATAAATCAGCGGTTGTAACAGCAATTTCCTTGAGTTGGATCATAATCCGGTAAATAGCCCATACTAATAAATTAATTTTAGCGACATTCATAATACCCCCCCCCCCCTTCCCCCCATTAAAATAATATATAAACCTAGCCCATACCCAAATGAGTTTTTGCATTAAAACCAGATATGATGATTTTTTTTTCAAAATGAATTCTAAAAATAGAGCATTATACCTTTGAAACAAACCATACCCGATATAAGTTTTTCACCTATACCTAATATATAGTATTCATATTACCACCATTCTTCAGAGTCCCAAATGTGTAATCCTTTTATTCAAGCTAAATATAATCAAATTTTTAGTATTGGCCTATTTATTTAATGACACCACTTGTATGTGACATGATTTTACATATAAACTACCAATATCATGCCTTCCCTAATCTCTCGATAAATAAAAGAAATATATAATACCTAGCTTCTAATCTAATCTTTATACTCTATCGAAGTAATAACAATGAATTAATTCATATTTATAATAAAATAATATTTTTTATTGGGGCTTCTAATCTTTATTAAATATTTCGGATTGTTACGGATTTATTTTATATCATGTAAGATTACTAGTTTTGACAATGAGAGGAGTCAGTTTAAATTTAAACTCCTTTCCATTATTCAGGTGAATTATAAGAATTAATTAAATTTGGCATATTTTTTTAAAATATATTCTTCCGATGGTAACAAAAAAAATCATTATTCAAAAACAAAAAATTTATCGATTACAGCTAAAAACAGGGATGCGAACCCGGCAAAATTTTTGCCCGGGTTCGATTCGGTTTAAGGTTAAAAAAAAAGGTGGGTTCGATAATCTTTGAGAATAAGTTAAAAATTAAAAATAAATGGCGTGTGATTAACAATCCAATAAGAATCTTTGAAAATAAATTTAAAAAAGGAGTAAATGAATTAAGTTGTTTAAAATTGATTAACACTTCATTGAAAATTTGAATATATTATAAAATGTCAAGTAAATTATTAATATTTGTATTTATAATTATATAAATATCTTATATTAATTTAAACAATACACTGGGTTTGGTTTGAGATTTGAAAATTTTATGTTCAGGTTCGGTTCGGGTTGAAATTTTTTACCCAAAACCCGGGTTCGGTTCGAATCTCTGGCTAGAAAACTTATTTTTTTTTTTACTGATAACTTGTTTTATAAAATAATACCGTTTCATTAACATCATAAATTTATCTGATATAAATAAATATAATTAAAAAAATACTGAGCATATAGTATAAGTACTGGTGGCTTAAATATTGGCATTAGTTTTAGTTAAAGAAAATTCAAGATGAAAAAATAATACAATTAAATCCTATATTTGGATAGGGATACCTTTAGCAAAAAAAAACATATAATTTATTTCCAGACATATTAGTTAATAATATTATTTTTAAAAAAAGTTATTTCTTGAAAAATCATTATTTTTTTTATGACTGACCTGATCTGATCCTCCACTAGGAAATAGTTTTTTGGAATTTTTATCGTTATTTTTGTGAGATTTTTCGTTGACATTTTTCTTGTCCGCCATAATTTGACTCTTAATACTGTTTGGCAAGTTGTCAGCATCTAACGATAGAAATTTTAAGCAAGGGTCCATTTTAGTGTAAGCCTTTGGGATTTCGTGGGGGAAAAATATGCGTTTGGGATTTAATTTGTTAGGGAAAGTATGGAAGCAGTACGATTTCTGTAACGATGTATATCTTCATATATCATATTAATATTTTTTGATTTAAATTGCAATTTATATAGGTTTAGGTTTTGATTTGAGCAATAATATTTGAACATTATGTTCTAACACTATTGGCCTATTATGAAACCCTAGTTACGAACAGAGTTAAATTTTGTGTAGAAAATATATCTTTATAGATTGATTACTGAAAACCTTTTTAATCCTAGAGTTTGGTAAAGTAAAAAATAAATAAAGTATTCATAAACATTATAATGCCTGATCTATATTCTTTTAGGTATTATAGCTAAAATACTCTTTAAAGTTAACCATAAATTAATTATATAAATTTTGAAAATCGAATGATAAATAAATGAAAGAGTTAATGCAAAAAGTCAAAAATAAAATAGCCATAATTATTACATAGCATATTTTTACTATGAAAATCAATATTAAAAACATGGAAGAACAGAACAAATAGAATCAATTGCTTCCAGCCTCTAAAAAACTTTCTTAAGAACTGCTCGTTAAAAATGCACGAAAATTTACATATATATAGTTCAGAATAAAATAGTAGTAACTAAAAACCATATAAAAATATATATACGCTAATCTGTAATAACAATTTTCAAAACTCAAAAGGTTATATTGAAGTTCAGGGGCGAACTGGGAGACTAAAGGGTTTATGGGACATTTCTAAAAGAGGTCCCATTATGATTTAATTTGAAACCTACTCCAATATATTAAAATTTAAAAGAATTCTTTTCTTTTTAATATTTATGTATGATCCATTTAAAATGATAGCTCGTTTTTTAAGTTTAAATACATTATTCTTCAAGTTAATTAATAAAATTTTGTGTTCATAATTATTTTACATATTATTTCATTCACTTAATGGCGGTCAAGCCAATCCGCCTTTAATAAATAAATTATTTAAAATAATCTTCCCATATATATATATATATTAGGATTAATTTTATAATATAATATATCATATATTTAATATTAAAATAAATGTTTTTACGGGGCTTGATTTTGTTTGTGTTATTATTATTTTTATTTTGGTCTATTCCCATTAAATATTTATATACATAATAATAATATTCTATTTTCTATATATAGACTATAATATTCTTGGCTATTTATTTTAAGAAAATAATAAGAATAAAATGTGTTCCCTATTTAATTCTATTGAATTCACATTTTAAATGATAATAGGGAAATGTTTTATATTTCGACTATTAAGGGCTACACATTTAAATCTATTTGCTTTTTTTTATAACGCTTATATTCCACCAGAAAATAAAATCAAAAATTTATAATATTGAAAAATTATTTTATGTTTTTTACCGATTTAAAAAAGTATCTTTTCTCTTTCCTAAGGCCCAAAATTCTTTCCTAAAGGCTCCCAAATTTTTAAAATTTCAAGGCCCCGTGGGACATTTTTCCACTAGACTTACTTGCCAGTCCGCCCCTGTTGAAATTGATATTAAAAAACTTACCACTCAAGAGTTAATCCATCAAATATTTTTGATAATTCATTAAATTTATTTATAAAAAACTACAGAGTATTTAAAATAAAATTATGACCATATTAAGTCGTGTAGAAAGGTAATTCCTTTTACATTTAGTAGTCTTTTTCATAAAATTTTTCAAGATATATAGAATGAATATAAAATTTAAAAAAGCTAAATTAAAAAAGTATAATTATTTGTAAATTTTGTCTGCCAGAAATGAAGCATAATTGTAATCCAAAATTTCAATTTGAATTTGTTGTCTAAATATAAAAAATCCTTGGCTTCATTTATGAAGTAACGAATTTTGATTGAGGGAAATAAAGAGATAAGCCTCATATAGGAACGCAATATTTATTTAAATTAAATGTAGTATATTGTTTTCTACTACTATTAATCATAGCTTAAAGGGTATAAAACAAAATTCAAGAAAAAAGAACCAAATAATAGTATGAATTTAGTAAAAAATATTATAATTTTACATTTATTTTATGGGGTATATAATATATATATCTTTTGATGGTGATGCCATTAATATTAATGAAGAAAAGTAATGAGGATCAAGTTAATTAAATTTCGATTTCGAAGAAAAAAAAGTTTTTTTAAGTAATTTAAAAAATTTTTCATACAAATTTTATAAATATAGCTGCTACTTTTTGGATATAATAATGCACGCCAATCGTGCACTGTTTTTTCATGATTTTAATAAATTACCATACACGTAAGATGTTTAATTATATATATATATATATAATGAAAAAAAATCATATTTTTGTATATCTTCTGTAGCCTAGTCGGTGAGTGCGTTGATCACAAATCTGAAGGACCAGGGCTCGAATCCATAAAAGGCCATGTTTCTTTCTGAAGTCAACTTGGCAGTTCTATACTTGGGGGATTATATATAGTAGATCAAACTCGACCACGTGATTCCGATTAGTGGTCTGCAATGGGCGAGTTTTTAACCCACAAGCCGGCTAGTCCAATGTTATTAAAAAATTTTAACCCATCCACCCAACCCACCTATAGTTTTAAAAATATACTCGCTTCCCTTTATAAAATTTTTTACCCGCCGCCCATTATTTACAAAAAAATTTTAACCCACGCCGCTTATATAAAATTTAAATAAGCTAATTCTTTCAATTTTTTTAAGCATCTAATAAAAAAAAAGAATTCGTTTCAGCGCTACATCGCCCAAAAAAGTTTTATAATTTCATAAAAAATATTTAATTTAAATTACGGGTAAGGAATTGATCTAATAAAATATTTATGTAATAATATAAAATTAATATTTATTGATATTGATATTAAAACCCTTCCAGCAATGCTAATTCCTTGTTCAAAAAAAGCATTGGTTTCTGGAATTGCCAATATTTTACCAATGCTTTTTCAGCTTAACTCGATAGCTTTGATAAAACTTTTTATTGTCGTTTCCATCAAAATAGGATATTTGTTAAAGTATATTTTCTACTCAAGTGAGCTATTTAAATAAAAAGTGAACCCATTAATAATAAATAAATAAAGTAATTTAAACTAAACTAAGTAGCTTAAAATCTTGCCAAATAACAAAATCTCTTTACATAAAGATTTAAATTAGGGATGTATCGATATTTTTTATCGGATCGGGCCGATATCACCCATTTTAAAATATCGGTTATCGGCAAATATTATAAAATTTTCCGATCCGATCCGATATAAAATGGCGTCTTTAATAAAAATAAAATGTTATAAAATTTTTAAAAGAAGTTATATCTAAAATCATTTATTTTTATAAATAAAATCGAAATCCATTTTTATATATATTTTTTAATAATAATAATTAATTAATAAACATTCTGCCATATTGTTATTTTTTTTGTGCATTCTGTTTATAAAAGTGTGCGATAATTTCTTCAGAATCAGTTTTTAGTGAAGCTGGTGATATTGACAGTTACCATCGCTGCAGGCTGACCTTTGACAAATTGAAAATTTTGATATTTCTAAAAAGAAATCTTCGATATATTAATGTTAAATATTATTTTAAATATTTATTTCAAATTTCATAAATATTTGTTTATTACTTATTATGTATATAATTAATGTATTATTTATTATATAAAAGTGATTTAACAATAAAAATATTTTATTGAATTGAATATATAAACTATAACTGATCATTATAATATATTTAAATGACATAAGTTATTATGGTATAGTTAAATTAATGTTATACTAATAAAAAGTATATTAAAATTAAAACCATTGGTATCTTTACAGAATACAAAATTAGATATGATATCAGATCGGTAATCGGCCGATATCAATTTAATATTGGGAATATCAATTCGGATGGGGTCGGCCTCCAAATGGTATCGGTATACCCCTAATTTAAATAATATTTGGTTATGTCATTAGGTAATGCATTCCTCTGTAGCAGCTACATATTCCAATCTGTTGTTGTTTAATTTTGACGTGGATGCTATCTTTTTCAAACATTGCAATTATAATTTAATAATCTTTAATTGAAATCTTATTGCTATTGGGGAAACGGGTAAAATCAGATTTTCATCCACGTCGATGTTATATTCATCCATCAAAATCTAACATGTTTTTGATATATTTTTTACCTAATTAATTCCTTCCGACGATAATACCCTCAATTATCGGTACTTTGGTATTAAAAATGTTGAAATTTCATAGAGCATATTTTTTTAATGTTCACTCAAATGATTTTAAATAACATAAAAGTTGTAAATTTTTTAACCAGCCTGCCCGCTTATCCATAGTTTAAATTTTCTTAACCCGCTCACCCGTCTGCCCGTTATTTAGAAATTTTATTCCACTCGCCCGCCTAGTTGGGCGGGCTATAATTCCGATTAGAAAATAAATGAGACTTATTTAATTTTGACAAAATTTAGTCGTTGTTTAGCAAATGATTTAGCGTGCATTATCACTAGTCCTTATATTTAGGGGAGTATTTTGCTTCATAGGCTTAGGTTGGTATAAGAGCCACTACATCAACTATAGGCCTATTTTATCCTCCAAAACATTAAAATTTAAAATGATATTTGTAACTTCCTAAATTAAGCCAAGGAACCTTTATATATTATACACAAAATCAAATTGAATGTCAATTAATAATTTAAAATTATATCTATAACCCTTTTATTTTTTTTAATTAGCTGATATAATATTTCAAAATTTATAAAGCAGGTGTGTTAAATCGTAAGCTTACTACTTACATTATGCGATGTGATTTTTTTAGATAATATTATTTATAGAATTTCATGGAGTTTATTTGAGAAATCAAATATCAAGATTCCAGAGTTCTGTAAAAGTACCCATTTTCAAAAAAAGAGAAGTTTTTTAAGCCCAGCCAATTTAAAATAAATATCGAACCAAGGCGACATATTGGTATGGGCCTGCAAGTTTCAACTATATTAACATGTTATTTTTAAACAAAAATTACCTGAATTTAGTGAGTCTATCGAAACGGAAGGCTTTTTTGTCAACTTTAAACTGACAAACATAAACATCTTTTTCATCGGGAAGTATTAATTGATTCAAATTAGTATATCCTAAATTTAAAAAAAATTTTATTTATTTTTTAAAGGTTTAAAAAATGAGGAAATGCAGTCAGGCGCCTCATTTATATTATTATCGCTGTGAAGAATCAGCTGTGATTTCCGTAGCGGTAAATACCCGCACCGCTCGAACAAAATGGGAAAATCCCCCCTGCCGCTTCATTTTATAGTGAAGGCGTTTTGTTCAAACGGTTCGGTATTTAACGCGGCGTTATTTACAAAATCAAACCAATCAGTAAATAGTTATAATTTATGAATATGGAGCGAAACGATGAAAACACTATAAAAATTCGAATAACATATGTTGCGACGGTTAATATGGTTCTAGCATAAATAGATGGTTGGAATGAGGGGGGGGGGGGGGTTGGATTTTTTTTTAAAAAAGGAAAAAATGGGCATATTAGGAAGTGTGAAAATAAAAATTCTGATAAGAGGTATTAGCAAAAATCATCACATACAAAATGGAGTGGCCCGGCTACTTATCAACAGCGTGACAATTTTATCTTCGGTATATTAAGGCAAAGAATGTAAATATTTTTAAATAGATCTTAAGCTAAAAAAAAATAGACATGAACAACAAATAATTTAATAGTTAAAGATAGAGATTCAAAATAAATGGGAAAATATGAAAAATAATTTATAAGGCAATAAAGATTTTCTTTAAAAAAAATATGATACAAAACAACATTTTGTTATATTAGATTTGATTTAACCTCTATTTTCTGCATTAATATCCCACCTTTTCTCGATTAAAGGCCTGCCTTTACAATAAGTAGACAGGTCCAGTACCCAACAAGCCGAATGTATGCTACTAACTGGAACTGTTTCGTAAACGTAAACTAATAGTAATTCGTTGGTGAAGAATTTTCTGGAAGGTTCATGGAAAGTTTCCGCGGGCCTAAAAAAATGATGCCCTTGAGCATATCTATTATTGAAACTATCGGTGAATAGGTAAAGGATTCGAAATATGTCCATTTCATCGTGTTTCGGTAGAGTTTGATTAGAATTAGGAATATTGGCTAAAATTGATAAAAAAATAATTATATATAATCAATTGTTCTGCAAGTAAAAAATATTAAATCAGCAGTGAAATTGTCACCCAAAATTAAATTTTTTATAGACATATGAAGAATTGAATAATTAAATTATTATTATTTTAAATTAAATTTATAGGTAATTAATTTACCAAACAAATCAATTTTTATTCATTACTTTAAAAAAATAATAAATTCTTTCTTACTACATTTAGAACTATGAACCCGAATGAAGTTTCAGGAATTTTAAACTCTATTTAGCTCAAATTTTGATAAAAGGAACTTAATCGGATCCAATTTTCTGAAAGGGGTCTGAACCCACCCCGAATCAATATTATTCCGGGTTCGATGGACTGACCATAAACAATTTTAAATGTATGAACCATAATGATTTTCCCTCTACATAAATTTAAAAAAAAGTGTCGTGTATTTCAAACTGCTATTTTAACCCCGTATAACATAGTAGCATTCCCCGCTTTTGATTCGAAAAGTTGAATCGTTACTGGCCATTGTACGAAAGTAGGTTAATTCATGACTATTTTTGTGGTCATTTTCGGAGCTAGGTGATAAATCTTTGGAGTCATAATCTTTAACGACGGCCGTACATAATTTTATATCCTGGATAATAATATTTTTGCGAAAAAGATAATAAATTTTTTTATATTGACAGTGCGATTTTAAATATAAAGACGTTTTTTAAAATAATATCTTCTCACCGAAACAAATAAAGAAATAAATTTAATTTTTGGTTTATAACTAAATATCTTTTTAAATGTCAAATTTTTAATTTTTTTAAGATAAACTAAATAATTCACGAGGAAACAAAAAAAATTAAAAATAATCCAAACCATCGATGCGTTTTGTCCCGAACAAAATGGGCAAATATAGCAATTTTCTTCCGATTCGTTAGTTTTTGTATAACCGACACATTCGCAATGTTGCCAAGTTAAACATTTATCGCATTGAATCATGGTCCCCTCCTCTCTAAATATCCGACAAGGACAGTTGACAATATCCTGGGGATCGATATCATCATTATTATTGGTCGTCGATTCTGAATGAGAGCTTATCAATAAAAAACAAAATTACTAGTATTGAAGTGATAGACTTGCAAATATAGCATAACTAAAGGGTCAGAGTCTAAAGATCCATTTAAAAATTTTTTTATTGGCGTATATAATCCTGTGCGCCGCCGCATGTAATTTTTGACCATGCGGCTAAAAAAGTGTCAGCGCAAATCACGCCGCTGCCGAAGATAAATATTTTTTATTATTAAGTATAATATTAATACATATTTTAAATTATTAAAAAATGCGATTTTATTTTTTGCTATAACTTTTGATATGTAGAAGGAAAAATAAAGACGGCAAAATTATATTACCTTTACATTACATGAAAAAGATAATAATTTTAATATCGCAATTTGGCTATGCATCATGTCACTCAAAAACATCCCGCCGAAGCTATTCTTTCCGAGATAGATAAAGTCGAAAATGAATTAAATTTAGGCTCTAAGAAATTTTAAATGGTTAAGGAAACACGACCCAATGTAAAGAAAAGTATTTGTCTATAAGAATATGGCCATCATGTTTAAGGCATGTATTACATAATCTAGTAGTAGTAGATGGAATAAAAAAAATTAATAAAATATAAAATCTCATTAAAAAAGTGAGAGAATTTATAGTTGTCTAAGATTTAAAGCGGATTTTGATCAATATCGAAAATAGGAAATGATTTTAATCGATATTATATACATCGAATATTTTAGATTTGGATGATAATGATCCTTTTTACGAAGATCGTTTTGGTTTTGATGATGATAGTGAAAATCAAAAATCATGAGAAAAAACAAAACTTTAAAATTAAATGCGCCTACACGCTGGCATAGTATTTTAATAATGCTAGAAAGTGAGACGTGAAATAATAAAAATCCTTTAATATATTAAAGAGAACGAAAAAACTGGATATCTAATTATTTAATTCCGATTGGAACTTGGTGCATGAACTTTTAAATTTTCTTAAAACCATAAACTGTTGAATTTTTATCCGCCCAAAAAAGGATTACTTAAATTTATTCTTTTTATTTCGTCCTCCCATAGCATCCCTTAAACAAAATATGCTTAATAAATTTGATCATAGACTTCAAATAACCGATCTTCAGGTAATATTTTAAAATACATAAATTAGTTTTTATTTATTAATTTGTTTATTTTTTTTACTTAAGTGATTAGAGCACTTTTGGATTTTCTTTTCTAATCTGTTAACATAGTAAATGAATATTTAAAGGAAAAAATATTACCGGTGCAATTTTTATCTCAACATAGTACCTCTCTGGTGCCTTACACAGATGAATTAACCGAATGTGAAACCGCAGAAGTTGCTTCAAGACTCGATTATCTTAAGATATTAGCAACCAAATGTTCATCACAAGAATCTGGAATTATAAAACTATTTAACTAGCCTAGAAAAAGAATGTTATTCATTATTTTCGCCTTATAATAAAGATAAGAGATGTTTTAGATTTTGGATAGATAAGAACATTGGATCTTCCTAAACTTTCTATATTATCTAGAAAAGTCCTGAGTGTTCCAGTTCCATAGCTGGGCTCACTCTGAACTCTAAAAGATCATCATTATGTCCTATAAGTCTAAATAAAATAATATTAATACATGATAATTAAAACTTAATAAAACCGTTAAATTATAGTTATAATTTAATTCGTAATTTGCATAATAAGGCATATTATTTTAAAAGTGTCCAATATATTTATAATTTTAATTAGAAAGATATTTGCAGATGCCGCCGATTTTTGTGGGGGCGCCTAAATCGATTTGCCGCGGCCAGCCGATCTTTTTAATGAACTGACGCCGCCGATATGGTGGTTGGTGCATAGGTCTTTGTATATATAGTTGTTAAACAGCTCGATTTAGTCTATTTTAAATTAAAAATTTAGACAAAATAATATTACAAGATTTTGTCTAAATAGATGTCCAAATCCTTTCTGCTATCTTTGAGCAAAATCTGGTTTGGGCATTTTTTTTGGCTAAAACATTGGGTTAATCATTTTTAAATATCAAGCCGTTTCTAAACACTACCTAGGTGACGCCGAATTTTCTACTAAAAATCCAGGCCGAGCTATAAAAATGGCTCGTAAGAACCGGACCGATATGTGTAATACACAAAAGTTATGAGGGAAATTGTATTAAATTAATAGGGCACGTACCCTATATACGCTGGAATATGTTTCCAGTTAGATCTTAAAAATTAATGGATTCCATATCCTAATACGACATATATTGTATTAGAATGTCTGTTCTTTTTTGTTTCGAGTAGAAACTCGCAATTATTAAAAAATTCAAGCATACGAAATGTTTTCAACATCATATACAAGAGAATTGTTAAAAATTAATATTATGGTTAGGTAAATTATTAATGTACTCCACGAGGGGAAATCTTTGATGACGAAATTATCGATAAATTCCTTAATTTAAATTGTTCATTTTTTTGTAATTATTTTTTATAAAGTGCATGTTAAATTGTTTTTCGTAAAATTTGTTTCATCCAAAAATAATTATCCTAAAATGAATAAATTTCTTTAAAGCGTCGAGCATGTCCTAGCGAACCTTTTAGGAAAGGAAAAAAAATTCCAAAAAATATAAGGTAAATATTTGGGAGGAAACACATATAACAATTGATTTTATTCAAAAAAATTAATTAATAAGTAATCCTTCTCCTAAATTTTTTATATATAAATCTTTTTAAAGTTTTAATAAAACGGGAGAAATGGTATTGATATTATATTTTTATCTATGATGTTCAAATCGAAATTGTACAAAACATAAATTGTTATTTCCATATCACAAATGTAACTTTATGCTCAAAACAACGGACAACCATATATTACGGAGATTCGCAAAGCCTACTCCGTTAAGATTTTTTGATAAAGTTCTAACCCGTTATTTAAATGTATTTCTGGCCCTGCCCGTAAATATTTTACAAAATAGAGGTCTGGGCAGTTTAATTTTGTTAGACGAATTTTCTGGCTAACACACTTTTAATGTCTATATCTAATTTTCAATTTAGTTGTTTTTTGATATCTGTATCATGTTGTAATTGGATCAAATCTTAAATAACTTTTCTAATTTATTTTCATATAGTATTAAATAAAATCAACATATTAGCTAGAAATTCAAAAAAAAATATATTAAAATTTTAATGCACGGGTTGGCTCATTAAAATTTCACGAAAAATTAGAGATGTGCAAGACCTGTCACTATTTTTTATATATGAATTGTCCGTAAATTTTTTTCCCGGCTCTATTATTTAAAAAAAATGCCCTCTCAAGCCCGCGTGCCGGGATCTGGGGATCTCTAGTATATACTATCATTAAATATAATGGTTTACTCATTATTGTTGAGCTGAACATTGGTGCTAGAATTGTCAAAGGATTGTGATTCAGTGTCCAACGTTTCCATGGAGTCATTCTTTGATTCTTAAAATATAAAAATAATACGAATATGATGCAATGTTTGAGGTCAGGACTTTAGTATAGAATTTCCTGATTAAAGAAATTATTATCAAATTTTCGACAAAGTTTCATTAAAAATGTGCTTAGCAAATAACATTAGTCACCTGTTATCTTGTATAAGATTCAATTATAAATAATTGTTAAAAAAATGATTGACTAATCCCGTAAAAGTAAACATGATTTGTGGCATTCATTGTATTTTCTTTCGCCTAGTTGTCGTATATCTAAAACAAACAAAAAATATTTCACTTGTAAGGTTATCATCATCACATTCGTTATTTTTAATCAAATCATGATATCGGCAAAAAGGTTCTTTGATTATATCCAATGATTTGATATCGATACATTCATCTTTAAAATAACGTCGCAGGTCGTGAATCCTTACGTTTACGAGAATGACGTAAATTTGTTCCAAATATTTAAGGGCCTGGCTCATTTTTCGACATTTTTTCCCCAATCTACACATGTCCATTTTGTCGAGATTGTTAGGTTGAGAGAGATTTTCTGTCGCTTTTAAGACAAGCTCATGATTTTTGATATTAGGTAAGAACGGATTGTTGCAATATGTGGATTTAAAATTAGAGAGCATGGCGGAAAAATCGCGATCAAAATGGGAGAAAGATTTATATGAGTTGAGGTTGAGCTTTTTTTCTAAATCTTTAAAGCAAGTAACGGTACCGGGTAAATTCTTGTGGCTGATAAATAAAGATACAATAAAATTTTTATAGATCGAATATGGATTAGCTCCTGTTCGTATGAGAATAAACGCATAAAAACATTCATTTAATATTGTTATTTATATTCAATAATTTTTTAAATTTTTTTTAAAATACCCGATATTCAAAATAAATTTTAGAACGCGTCTCTGATTATTATCGGAAAGAAGTTTTCACTTTATACACCAGGTGTTTGTGGTTATAGCCGCCCAGACCCCTGAAAATAAATGAACTCGACACACGGCCAAATAAATTTAAAAATTTGGCTCAGACCTTGCACAGAGTCAAGAGCAGAGTTTAAGCATAAAAATGTACTATTCCGGCACAGCCCGCATAAAGGTCAACTAAAAGCATCTATATCATACCAATTTGTATTATTTCATTCTTGAAGGTATTCTTTTGAAGTCATTATATTCTTAACTCTTCTCCTTTTTTCCTATTTTATCCAAGCAAACAAATTTGTAGATGGCTTTAATTGTTACCAAATAAAAAAACTACTTTTTAAATGTAGCGCGCTAGTAGCTAATTATTTTTTTTAAACTTTATTAAATATATGGTCGGCTAAGGATCATAGTGTTTTATACCAATTTTTCCATTACCAGTATATATATATACCACTAGATTGGCGATTTATTCATTAAATGCATTTAAGTGTCCATACATATGAGTCTAAAGCAACATTTCGTGGTTTGCTCGTCGATTATATGACATGAATATGCATTCATATAATGATAAATAAAACAAGTAGTCGACGTGCCAGGCACGTAGCTAACACCCCCCCCCTCCTGTAGCAATATATCAATTGTATCCCGCGAAAATTTAAAGTTTATTTTCTTACATTTTTTAAACCTTACACAATGATGGATATAAGAAAATTTTATCAACCAAAAATTATATTTAATTTATCTTTACTAATAACTATGATTAGAACATTTCTAGAGTGTATGAAATGTATATCCAAATATAGAGAATTTGCTGAATAAGAAACTGTAAAAAGCCTGCACGACAAGATAAAGCCTTCAACATCAAGCTGTTACAGCATTTTTTGAACTTGAAGAATTTTGTAAGCCCTTAAAGAAATATCAGAATGAACTGAACAGATATTTTATATTAAGCTGATACATTATTAGATTTAATATGACAATAAAATGTATTAACAAATTATTTGTTACACAACAATTTTATGCAATATCTTTCAGAAAAATGATATGGTTTTAGCTGAAGTTATGAGAATCGCGAATATTATTTTCATTATATTACAACTTAGAAATCGGAGAGACAATATCTACTAGGAATTTCTTGAGATGTGATTGTTGAGATGAAAGCGAAATTATATGATTTTGAGATTCACAAGCCTCGACTTTCACCGACAAACAAATCGTTCCAGTATTAACGTGGACTGAATTGAGGATGCTATAAAATAATCGTTTTTATTCCACTTTTGGATATATTTTTGACTCAAAGGAATGAAAGATTAGTGATTTATGAAATGTCCAATTTAGAAATACTGTATATTTATAATTTTCGAAATCTGATATTGAAAATGAAGGAGATGCAAATAATTTTGAGGCTGATATAAAAATACAGTTAATAATTAAATTTAAATATTTTTCAAAATCATTAAATGATTTATATAAAGATTTCCTTCTTTCATATTTTAAAAAAAAGCATAAAAAATAATTTATACCATCTTTATTTGATTTCGATAAAATATACTCAACAAATTTAAAGCATATTCCTTATATAATAATCTTCGTAAAAAATTATAGCAATGTAGCCTAATCGGAAAAATTGTTATTAGCAAGAAAAATGATAACCCCTCTTCATTTTTATAATCCTCCAGCCAATACAGGCCTCTGTTACTGGTCCCAACTCCATTTTCAATTATTTTTAATAAACGTTTGACCTTAATTTTTTTTGATCAAAAGTGGAGTTATAACAATAATTATGATCAAGGATAACCACTTGAATATTTATTATGACATAAATTTAAATATAATTATAGAACACGAGCGTATCAAGTAATTTTTATCAAAAGCAAAACACCGTATTTCGAATTAATATGGGCAATCATTTTTTTAAATTTTAAACTTTAAATCCGTATTGGTATCGTGTGTTTTCGATGATTTAGTGTTAGGTAAAAATCCGTTAATGATTGGGTTTAAGAATGGACTCGACAAATATTTCCATTCTTTGATCCGTTTGTCCTGATGAAATTTGACCAAATAGAAAATCTTTTTTAGCAAAGTTATTCCATTTTCAGTTGCTTCGTTCATATTTTCTGTATTTATTTATATACATATTTATCGTATAATTAATATGTTTGTAAACATAACGTAAGCGTATAAATTGGTCATTACACTCATTAATGTAAAACTCAGAGACCTGGAGGTACCTAATGTATGGGTTCGCGAATATTTTCATTTTTAAACCCAGTTCGGTCTAAAATTGATCTTTAGGTTTCTGATAATTCTCTAAATATAATATATATAGTAAATATATTATATATTATATAACACACCTTTTTCATCAGTTCCAGCATCATCACCACCAGAGCTTTTATTCGTATCATAGGTGATTTGATTGATCATCATTCGTTTAAGCGTTAGATTCCTATTCAAAATAGCGCTATAAGATCTCAAATATTCCTTGAAATTTCGAGAGAGGAAAATGTGTTTGATGTTATGATTCAAGTTTTTATTGCCGATTTCAGTTTGGGCAGCAGTTAGGAGACGTTTCAAAAGGCATACGGGAGTAGTTTTAAAATGTGCGTAAAAATTGAAGAGTTGATACTTTTCGAGGGGTTGAGAAGGTAGACTCTTTTATGTTAAGGGAGATTAATTCAATATTAAATAGTTAGTAAAAAATTATAATATCTAGAAGTTGAAATAAAATCTTAAATTTGATTCAATTATACAAGAGAAATTTAGAGGTTATTTTATACTTTTATAAGTAAGATTTTATCTGCCTTCCTAAACTTTTTAGTACATATAGCACCGTCACATGTATGCTTGGCTGGTAGTAATTTGTGCGCACCCATTTTAATACTGTTCAGTAATTTAATTTTTTCGTTTGCAATTTGAATACTTTTAGCCTAATTTTAATTTTTTGGTGTGTATAATATAAAAAAACTTTATTTTACCAAATATAATTGCGATTATACCAAATAAATTATAATTTTGCAGAGACTTGTGGGGTTACTCATTTACCGGTCTGGTCCGGCTTTGTAAAATCAAATTTCAAACTTGGTCTAATTTCTAATAAATTATTTTAAGGTCCGGGTTGTACCCAGGCTTGGAGAAATTTACTTTATATTTTATATTATATATAAATGACTAATCATATTTATTTAAATAATGTGATGTTTTAGAGATAAAAGTTCTACAAAAATTAATTATACTTTATGAGATCTTTTCTTGAGATAACCCGCAGTAGGAAGCCCCGTTTTGCCTTGTACAGACAATATTTTTTTCTCAACATATTTGGTTTTTACCGAGTTCTTCGTAGCACCGGTCATCACCTGATATCTTTGACGGAAAGTTGATTGCCGCAATTTTCTAACTAGACCATTTTTGACGAGGCCTTTCTTAGGTTGGATGTCAATGAGTGGTCGCTTAGATCCGTGTTTTTCTTTTCCTTTTATGTTGATACTTTTAGGTTGGCCATTAATTGCACCATCGATTTTGACTAATGAATTTTGTTTATCATCTAGGATTGAGGAGGTGTTATCTAATAGGCCAAATTTCCTAGACTTTATTATATCTTTGTTATTAGGTAATGGTTTCGATTTTTTGTTAATGTTATATAATTTGTCACCGCTGGTTGTTTTTTGGGTTGTTTCGAGATTCCTTAAGCATTTTTTGTAACCCTTTAAAAATTTCGGGCGCTTGGATAGTTTTTTAGATTTATCAGATTTTAGATCATTAATCACCATTTTTTTATATCTATTGATGTCGTGGCGTTTGACCTTTTTATTTGAGTTTAAAATATCCTTAATAGAAGCATCCCCATTATACAAGGTGACCCCCAAAACTATGTCGTTGGTATAGCGCTTTATTTTATCAACGTTCGTTTTGCGTTTAGTTTCTATTAATTTAAGCTTATCGCCATTATTACCTTTACCTTTGTCAGCGTGATTTTTCTTTTTATATTTCATTCCAAATCGCGATTTCCGGCATTTGACTTGCTCGATTACATTAAGAGATTTATTGGTTTTATGTGTCATCTTATTAGTCGATTTGGTCGGTTGGCCTTCTTCTTTCTTAATGTAATTCGATCTCCTAGTCTTAGCGCGATTAACATCATTACCGTGAGTATTTTTTGTATTATTTGGCGTATAAATTTGAGCGTTGTTGTTACTACAGATGCCATTATTGTTGCCATTTTGCGTGCTTATGAAACCTCTACAAGTGCCGGGACCACTACCGCACAAACATGTTTGAGCGGCTCCGCCCTCGAAACAAGTGAAATTATAATCGTATGTCAGTTCAGTGCCAGGAGGAATTACATCTAAGTGATAATATTATAAATAATTTCCTATTTTGTAAAAACAGAAGAGGTCTACAACGGGCGCGTTTAATCTACAAGTCGGTCCTTCCAAATTAATACGTCCGCCCGCCTATATTTTGTGAAAATAATTCGTCCAATAGTTTTAAATAGGGATGCAAAAAACCGCTTTGAATTACTATTATTACTACTATCATTATGGAGAATATATTCAACCAACATTTTATTGCAAATTTTTGATTATCGCAATTATTTTATAATTTTCTCATTTTGCTAAATCGAGTTATAAAAAGCTTATTTTTTAAAAAAATTTTAAAATGTTTAAAATTTCGACAGATATCTAGGTATATTTTTGTTTTTTTCTCGCTATTTCCCGTATTTTATGCTTGAAAAAAAAATAATTGTTTTTTAGATCCCTAGTTTGAAAATGTTGTATTCACCCACCAGTCCATATTTTAAAATAATTTGAATTGGTTTCATTTTTTATTTTAGTAAATGTTTATAAAATATTCAAAATATAACAAATATTATAAGCCCTAATTTCCTATCTCATCCGTAAAATAAAATTGATCGACTGTCCGTTTACTTGTTTAATTATTTTAAAAAAAATTATACCCGTTGTAGACTCCTAATTTAGATCAATTTTATTAGCGATGACTCACAATAAATGTTATTTGGAAGTGAAACAGATCTAAAAAAAAGAGTTAAACAAATAAATTTTTCATAGGTTTATAGGTGAAACCCAGGAGCAACGAAATATTATATCTAAATTATTTTGGTAAATCACTAATGATTTAGAGAGATCAGAATAAATTATGAGTTTGATATAGATAAAAAATATTATTTAAAAAAAAATACAGCAATTCCCGACCTAGTGAAGTTGGCTCTTTAGGCTAGGGTTTGGCTTCTGAAGTAAGAAAAACAATTAGTATATTTTGAAAAATGGCTAAAATGTAGAAACGTACGACTTATTATTTTATAGATCTGATGCGACACAGGCATAAATGGCATTTAATATTTATAAAACGTACTTCGATTACCGGCGGGTTTGGAAAAAAGGGCCATTCTAACGAATCCGTTGACGCTCCACTTTTTGACCACACAGTTGGGGGCGCAGGAATGGTTGACAAACCGGGCAGGGGAACCTCGTCTTGAAGCGTCTATTACGCATTTCGAGTCCACGTACAGGCAGTAATGATGTAGTGAAGCCGTGTAAGCAGGGGTGTGGGACCGGCGAGCAAATTCTTTGGCGCTGACCACCTCTCCCGTATATTCTAGGATAAATTCGCCTATTTTTTGGAGGGAAGTAGGGGTGAAAATTGTTATTAGTATAAAAAAATGGAATATTGTGTAATATGACTAAATAGGGGGAGGGTCGAATAAGATTTTTTTAAAATGTGTTCACTTTTAGGAAAAATAAAGGAGTTTTTGGATATTAGAGAGATTTTAAAATAACAAAATCGGATAAAATGAACGCATGGGCTATGTAAATAAAGTTAACAATAACCGACAAATGATTTTGCTTTGTCGTTCTTGCGTACGTGAATATGCTTCTTATTTTACAAATATTTTTATTAGCAAAATAGTTTTAAAAATCATTTCTTTCTTTTTCCTATTTCTTGTGAAAATAAATAAATAAAAAACTAATTTGAAAGACACTTTTTATCTATATAAAAAAATCTAATATATTTTTACAATTATATAAAATACTACTCAGACTGCCAATTCATTCATTTAAATATGTATCAATACAAATCAGCTGGTAATCGCCATTTTAATAAATAATTAAAATCTTGAAAATGTAAAATTTTATATGGGAAACCAATATAACGTGTCACCAGCTGACTTTTATCATAGACACTTCAAAGTGCATTTCAATGAATAAATTTGTGAGTATAGGTAAATATACATAATATGGCATTCATTCTTTTTTATAAAAGATATTTTAAAAAAGACGAAATATTTATTTATTAATAAACCAGATTTTAATGGTTTGGTCGTTCTAATTCCGTAACCCCGATCAGGTGTCATAAATAGTTCGATGCCGGTAAACCACTGATATTTTTGAATCTTTTGGTTGGAACATTTTTCTTCGCAAGGGCACGAAGAGGGATTGCACTCTACATACATCATTCTTTTTAAAAAGTTAACATACGTTTTTTATTTATTTTTTGTTTTAAAAATCAAATTATCGATCTATTTTTTTTTGAAAAAAAATATTATACTTTATAATAAAGATTGAATGAGAAAAAATGGATCAAATAAGTAAAAATTTGGCCAAACTTTCGTTATACTACGACTATCGTTATAGGACACTGGGCCGAAAAATAGCCATTAAAAAATTAAAAGAGGTGATATATGAATTTTATTTCTAAACGGGTATAAGTATCTGTTTGACTTGACTGGGAAAGACCCCGCATATTCCAAAAAAATAAATTTGACCTGGCAAAAAAATGCGCTAACCGGGGGCGGGAACCCAGGTTTCGGATATTTGACATAGAACCCTTTATTTAATAAAAATTCGATTTAATTCGCACATTATGTTAATTTTCAGACCGGGTAATTACCAGTATCCGATACTGAATCAACGCCAAATCTCAAGGATTAAGATACAAGTTTTATGAAAATGGCTGGTTTTTAACAGGGGTTCTTAAATTTAGATAAATATCTCTAATATGAAAAGAGAAAAATATTTCCGTTTGTTTTTTTTGTTTAAAATGAAGAAATAACAATACCGATCATGGTTCAATTCAAGGAAATTGCCGTTACGACAGCTGATTTATTTAATTTCTATTTGTTTAATAACATGACTTGTCAGATTTGACAGGTTTTAATATAAATATGATATAATTTTATTAAAAAACAATTTTTAATATAATCTTAATCCTAACTCATATCTCTTAAAACTTTAATTAATCCTAGCCCATATCTCTTCTACTTAATTATCAATTAAAATATCTCCTTCAGTTGAACATTTCTTGAGTTGAGCTATTATCCATACTGCCAACTCTCCCCAAATATTAGAGATTTGCAGAGGTCGTTTCAGGCCTGTCACCAAATTTTTTAAAAAATTTATAGGCTCTATTTTTATGACCTGGCCCAGTCCCAATATTTGGTATTTTATAGGGATATTGAAAATTAAGAAAATTAGATTTGGACAATCTATTAGGAAATCTCGAGGCTTATGACATAATTATTTTGGCTAAAAAATTGAGTCGCCACTTTAAAAATTAGCTCAAATTAAGTAGTTTAACAACATTACTTAAACAAATCAAAAATAAAAATCCAGACTGGGGTTGAAAAATATTCAAATCCATCCAGGCCAGGCTTTATAATTCTATTTTTAAAAATTGGTCAAGAGAACATATATAGTTATTTAATGTTTATTTTACCAGTGTTGCCAACTTTAAATGAAGGGGGAGGGGAAGAGGTTTAAAATTAACAAAAAATTCAATAGTTTAATAAAAGACCTCCAAATCTAAATGAGCAAAAAAATATATAGAAAAACTAACATAAATTTTCTAAAAAGACATTTTCTGTATCAAAAGAGCAAATGAATATTGATTTCAAAAAAGTATTATATTGATGAAAAATAAGATTAAAAATAATTTAATAAAGTTGCATTAATATGGTTTTAACACATGAGTGATAATGAGTGACTGAGTGATGAATATAGCTCCTAGTCAAATTTGTATATTAAGCTTTGATATTTTTAACATCTATTAATTTAACTTTTAGATTGATTATTAAAATTTTGAAGATTGAATATTAATTTAAAATTTAATGAGAATTTTTTGTGCCAATAAAACAAAATTTCCTTAATTTTTATTATAAAAATATATTTAAAAGCAATAATTAAAATTTCTGTTTAAATATAAATGTAAACCAGTATACCCTTAAAAGTTAAAAGACAAATGATTAGAATTATAACAAATTTATAGTTTTTCCCAAATAAAATATAAAGATTTTCAAAAGGGTATTAATAAAATATCAACCTGTTTAAACAGTTGTCTTGACATCCCATAAGAAATGGCAGATTGGGTTTTTTACAGGAACAAGCTTGGTTTTCATAGCCCGTTAGGGGTTTAATGTCAATAAAAATATCTTAAAATAAAATTTTAAAAGTCTACCAATTTATCTAATATACTTGATTTTATTTTCTTATAAGATAATTTTGATATGTCAACATCTACTGATATACCTTTATCCTATAAATATATAAGATCATTTAATTCATCTCAACATCAAACCTTTTCGAGTTTAGTATTTGATGGCTTCATAATGTCTAAATAATTGTGCTTTTTATTTTTATACGGATGATCCAATTTCTTATTTTTATTTAATGTGGCATTTTCAAATATTTTTTTATTAAAATCTTCCATTTGGATCTTTTTATCTAAGGGCTCTTGATCTATTATTTTATAAGTATCATTATTATTGCGTTTTAGCTTCACTAATATTGATGAATCTCTCTTTTTTTCTCCATCAAATACTTTTATATTTGCATTGATTATAGGCTTATTTTTAAAATTTATATCATTTTTAATATATTTAAATCTTTTATTTTTTTTAGAAAAATCATTAATTTCTGCAAATCTTTTTTTTAAAGGCAAACTTGTACCTTTTGATATAGTCTTAAATTTTAGCTTTGTTTGGGAATCAAGAATTGACGGTGAAGGACATAATTTATTTAATTTTAAAATATTTTTGTTTACAGACTTAATAATTTTTTTAAGATCATCATCCTCTGAATATGAATGATTTTCTTGTTTAACAGAATTGTTCTGAGATTTAACTATAGATAACCTATCAAATTGGCATATTAAATTGTCGAGATCAAATTGATAATGTAGTTTCTTGTTTATATTTTTATCCTTCTTCTTTGGTTTATTCGGTTTAATATAAATTAATTGCTTACAATTATAGATATTTATTTCATTTGGATGTTTTCTCTCTAGCATGCTTTCAGCTGTTTTTGAATTCATTGCATTTAATAAATATGAATATTTGTTATCAAAACTGAAGTTTAATGAAACAGCTGACAACTTCATTAATGACATGACAGAATGTTATACAACTCAACTCAAATATAAATATATAAATTAAGATAATATTATTTAGAATTGCACACTGGCAGAATATATTTTCTAAAAGATGCAAAAATAAGCTAAGCGATTAATTTGATGCATTTTTGTGAATAAAATGTGAAATTTATTCTTGGGGATTAAGCATCTAATTATTTTTTATTTTATATTCTTTTCTCTACCTAAATTTTGTTAAATAAGTTAAGAAAACATAAATAAAGAAAATATAGCATTTTTTTCTGTATGCGTCACTTTTATAAATGGCAATTATTCATGCGCAGGAAGTCACTTTAGATCTAGAATTAGATAAAAATTACAAATACAATAGATGAAGGAAGATGACAGAAATGCGAGAAATTCATAGCAAAAATTTAAGATACTATTCATTGCTTTAGCACATAGTATTATGTATTTTGGAACATATAATTCATCATTTGTCATTTTTTAAGCACAATAATTTTTATGTTGTAAAATAAGAAAACTAGACCTTTACTCATGTCAATCTTACTAGTTTTAGAGTTTAAATTTAAATGAGAAGTGCTATTTTAGTTGGTTTGGATATATATTTAGGGTGATATTGTTGTTTAATTCATAGATAATACGATAATCTGATTAATTGAGTTGATTAAAAAAAGTATCATCTTCACAATATGTTTATTTATATCAAGCTTTTACAATTAAAAGTCTATTATTCAATTCAATTTAGATTACAAAAATAAGTAAACTTTTTATTACGCTGATATAGATAAAAAAAGAAAAATAATAATAAAATAAGCGTTTCACCTAATAGTGTTGTTATATGGCTCGTTTGGATCGATTTTTAAAAATGGTCCGATTAAGATTTTAGCCAAAATAATATTATATAAGACAGGAGATTCGCATAAATGTCAGAAAGGTTTGGGCCTCCAAATCTTGAGGGTTAAATAATGTAATTTTAGCTAAAATTTTAATCTGGCCATTTAAAAAATCTAGGTAAATTGAATTACACCGAAAGATAAAAATACGAAATAAAAATGTTAATCTAAAGCAAATAAAAAATACATAATCAACAAGTATTCAGCAATTTTTAACCAGGAGCAATTACCTACCTCACAAGGAAACTGACTCAATAAATGCTTGTGGGCAATTAGAAGATGGAGAAAATGTCCATACCCGATAAGAGAGATTTGGCTAGGTAAATTGTATTTTAGTATAATGTAAAAAAATAGATTATTCGGAAAAAATTTATTAAGAATCTCGAAATGCGACATCAGCTTTAATAAATTTAGTTATATAATATCTTTTGGAATTAATCAAGGAACTGCTCAAGTGAATTATATATTATTTATGTTTAAATAAATATTTAACTTTTTATTTTTCATTTATCTATACCACTTCGTCTTGTCATTTTCATATTATATAAAATCATATAAAATGAATTTTATTCCTGGAACATATTGTTAAAACATCACAAATATTAAAGTAAACCCTGAATGTATATTATAAATCACAAGAAATATATGATTAAGATAAATTTCTATCTTACAACTAGATTTAGGATCCAAAACATCATAACTCGAAAATAATAATAATACAACACATATATATATATTAACTTATAATGTATCATAAAGAGGTGTGAACCTAATTTTTAGGGCCGTAGCCAGGAATATCCTGCTGGGGGGGGGCAACTTTTAGGGTGGTCAATATTTTTTAAAAATAAAACAAATAGTTAGGCACTCATAAAATATTTTTACTATTTTTATTAAAAATTTATAATCCACGATTTTTGTAACAATAAATGAATTTAAAGCTAAATTCTTTAATATTTTTTTTCTTAAGCCATTAATACTAAATTTTGTTTATATCGATCTTTCATCGATTTTCTAGTGATAGATAGAATTCTCTTTAATATAAAGAATGAGGCTTCAAAAAACGGCGTTGATACATGATGATGGCTGCTGAAGTAGCATTTATAAATTCTTTAAATGCAAGATGATAATTATTGTATACATAATATTTACGAAATTTTCAAAATTATGTTTCTTTAACTTTTGCAGCTAATAGCCCTTTTGCTATTTTTATTTCATGATGTAACATTTCATATTTAATGATAATGTTTCTAATGGGCTCATTTTATCTGATATAAAATAATGAGGGTCAAGGAGGGAAACATGATAGAAGAATATCAACATCTTGTGTAAATCTATCTAAAAAATATCTTAAAAGTAATCAATTTTATCATTCTTTTTTAAAGATCTCCAATTGAAGTCCATTTAACAATTAAATTGCATATATCGACTAAAAAATCTTGAAGATGTATAGGCGTTTTACGTACATAAGATGATATTTAGGGATGATATAAAATTTTGATATAGGTTTCTCAGCTTTAATTCTTATCAAATCAAAAGAATATCAATTTTTTTATTTTTTAATAAATTAATTGTAGAATTAATATAATTTTTAACATCTACTATAGTAGTACTTACTGACTATAGATATTTATTTATTGAATCTATTGTTATTATTACCTCTTAAAAAGACCAATAAATGTAATTTATATTATAATTTTCCGATGTCCTCACTACGTCATCGTGACGTCATGTCATCGCTACGTAATGTCATCGGTATGTATTTATTTTTATTTGTTGATTTTATTTATTTATTTTATACAAACAGATGAAGGGAATTTAGAGAATTGATGGTGTACACATATTTAACATGGATTGAGAGATTTGAAAATATATAAACAATATTCCCTCAACTTTCTAAATATGAATGAAATAAATGATGTGAATAAAAAGATTCAGGCTAATATTTCACTTAATCCTTTCTTTATTTTTTAGATTACCTTATCAATTTTCATCTCATAATATCAATTACACATTAATGAAATCTCTACAAGATACTCAACTTGTATATTTATTTTGAACATACTCACAATTTTTGTCAGTGCTTACATTACAATTTTTTGTACTCATATTTTTCTTTCATAACCAATAATTAAGAAGATAATCAAGTATATTCAAATATTTAAATATTCTTTTCCTAACTTATTTATATTCTCCAATTCTTATAAATAACTCTTTCTTTATTTTTTTCCCCTCCCTTAATGAATTTATTTATCACTAAATTTTATTATCTCATTCTTTTCTTTCTATCTCTATTATCTATTAACCCCTATTTCTCGAAACCTTATCAATTCCTTTAATATAATTTTTATTATTTTTATATTATAATAAATTATATCTTCTTTTTCCCCCCTTTTTTAATCTTATTTTTTAATTACCTTACAATTAATTAACCTTAATCTTAATAACATTACATTCATCATGTTATTTTTTAACTTTTAGAATAGCATAATAGGCTTGATAAGTCCCCCAAAAATTTTTTTTGATGATAGCTCTTCAACTAGTAGAAATATGCATCTAATATTGACCCATCTACCGGTTTTACATTATTTTAATGTTTGTTTAAATTCAACAATAGTTTATTTATATATTTGCCTGATTTCTTTATTTGTATAGGCTAACCCTAATCCCTCACATTGCTACAAAATATGATGAATCTATTATAAAAGATAAGCAAAGAAAATAATGACGATTAAACAAACGCCTTACCCGTTCTAGAGTTACTGGTAGACAAAATAATAAAGAACTACGCTTGAAATGAACTCATATGGATTTTGTTTTTTTTATCTTATGTTTTATATATATGTTTATTTTATTTTCACCCAGTTCTCCAAATTATACTATCACCACTACCACAATCCCTATGCCTCCGCCTATTTTTTAACAAATATAAACATTTAATTCTGTACTATCATTCACTTCACTAGGAGTTAATATAAATATTACTTTATCCGATTCTTTGAGAAACTTTCATGAATATTTAGAGGAATGTTCAAACTTGAATGTACAGTATGGCCAATTTCATCAACTTTATTAATGGAAAAATATGCAGTAGTTCTGTCGTGCCCTTTAAAACAATAACGACCGTTTTATGGTTGAGTTAACATTGTCGTTCATGATTCTATTTTAGAAGGGGATACCAATGCTGACATTGACAAAAATATCGTTTTGCGTGTTCAAACTTGAATGTACAGTACGGCCAATTTCATCAACTTTATTAATGGAAATATGCAGTAGTTCTGTCGTGGCCTTTATGACCGTTTTATGGTTGAGTTAACATTGTCGTTCATGATTCTATTTTAGAGGGGGATACCAATGATGACATTGACAGAAATATCGTTTTGCGTTCATCTTTTACCAGCATCCCAAGGCATAGGCATATCATCTTTATCAGGACGCAATGTGTTTTGTACACTGCTTTGTTAATCCGTCATTACTTTCATCTACAACCCTAAATGATATAAAATTATACATTAATTATTTCCTCTCCATACGACCGCCCAGATTTATTTTGTCACTTTTTCCATCAAAAATTAAAATGTCAACAAGGATTTGCTCTTAATTTTATCAAATACATAATAAATAATCCTCATTATTTTTTAAAAAAATTATCCTAAATTTATATGTCAATAAAACAAAATATCTTAAAAAATATATAAATAATTTGCATATAAGTTTCAATAGTGTTTAATGGCATTTTTGTAATTTAAATAGACAGCAATTTTTTTTTACTTTACATAAAAAAATATATATCCCTTATCAAATTCTCTGACAAATAATTTCAGAAATGCAAGACATACATTAAATTTATCTGAAAAACAACAATAACCTTATATAATAAACAACATATTTTTTAGATATAATTTTAATTGATCATATTACAAAAAAGTATAAGAGTCGGTTATTTTTATTTTATTTGTCATGATTCTCTAATAAGTGGTTGCCCAGGCCTTCCCAGTTTTTCTTAATACGGAATTTACATGTTTTTTTTCCATATTAGACTAATTGGTAAATCAGATATTTCCCGTTCATGTGATAATATTAAAAATTTAACTATGTCCAAGGCGGGAAAAAATTTTCAAAATAAAAGAAATAAAAGAAGGGACTTATATCAACTATTACTATTTAAATTTAAATCAAATTTATTACTATATATTTTTTATCTAAAAACATATATATATATATATAAAAAGTTAATTGAACATATTAAACAATCAACTTAAATAGTTAATATATAAAATAAACAATATTCAAATTTAAATCAATCAACATTCCCCCTCTTCTACAAAGAACTAATCTTCTTCTCAGCAGTCATCGAGAGCTTGTTGTCCCAGAAGTTTTTTCCCGTTTTGATTGTACTCGGTTTCATCTTGGTTAGCACATAAGTCTCAAATGTTCTCGTAGGCTTGATTCTATCACGTAGGTTTGATAAATCGTTTATTAGAGTTGCGTGAGTTTGTACGTTTTTTGTAGGCTTGAATCAATCGCGTAGGTTTGATAAAATCGTTGAACGTTATCGTTGGTTTGATATCCTTATCGTATGTTGTTCACATTTCTCAAAATTGTTATTATCATGTTTCATAATTAATCCAGTCGAATATTGGAATTTGGAATAAGTCGGAATATGTAATTTGGAATAGTTGATCAAATCAAATATATGAATAATATGCACGAATAAAATTTTGAATTTCGGAACAATAAAATATGTAATAAGGAATGATAAGGAATAAGGAATAAAATCCAAAATAAGGAATGATAAATAATTATTATATTATTTTTTAGGTGTTAAGTTAATCATAGCGTTTTATACTTTTAGCGTTTTATGCGTTTTATATTTTTAGCGTTTTATATTTTTTTGCGTTTTACATTTTTTAGCGTTTCCATATTTAATTAGTAGCGTTTTAATACTTAATTTATTTTTATTTATTTTCAATCTCCGAGGTTAAAATATGCAAATATTATGCACATTTCCCTCTCTTAAAAAAAATTTAAATTTCACACAATATTTTTCTAAAATAATGATGTTTAATTTTTACATAACCTTTTGTCTTCAAAAGCTTTATTTCAAAAACATTTTTATCATATTAAGTATTACTTATAAGGGTTATTTAAATCAATCCCTTTTAATTCATATGTTTTAATTTCACTTTAATATCATTGGTCTCACAAAATAGAATTCATAACCTATCGTTCAACTTCCATATCAGTTCTTCCTAGGTTGTCACATTAGGTTAGGTGCTGGTTATCATATTCCAGTCCAACATCCAGAGCCGGGACGAAGAAAGAAGCTTTTTGCATGAAAGAACGTGCTAACATCTCCATAGATTAGGCATTGGATATCAATAGATTAGGCAGTCACAATAAATAAGGTAGTCATAATAGATAGTCATCTCCATAGGTTACGCAGTCTCCATAGGTTAGATAGTCATCACAATAGATTAGGGAGTCACAATAGATTAGGTAGTCATAATAGGTAGTCATCTCCATAGGTTAAGCAGTCTCCATAGGTTAGATAGTCATCACAATAGATAGTAAATAGGTAGTCATATAAATAGAGTCATCTCAATGGATTAAATAATCGTCACAATAGGTAGTCATATAAATAGAGTCATCTCAATGGATTACACAATCGTCACAATAGGTAGTCAAATCAATAAATAAGGTAGTCATCAATTTCAAATTTAATTTAATTTATATCTTTTAGTTTTAGGCAAATTTTCTATATTTTATTCTTTTTTTTTTTACAAAAACATAACAGGGCGCCATAAAAGAAACAAGAAGTTAACAAGTTATATTTATTCTAAATAAAATTTTTTTACCTTTTATAATTTTGTAAATTTGGATAAAATTTTGACTATCGAAAAGAAAAGTCAAAAAAATTTTATTTGTCCTTATATCATCTCCAATATCGAACGACGAATTTGATAAGTAATTCGTTTACTTTTTATTTTTACTAAAGAATTCAAGGTAAGGATATTTTTAAAATTTTTTTTTAAAACTTTTATCATTTAACTTTAATTTAAAACGAAAAACGTACCACCGTAACCGGGGCACCATAAAAGAAAGTATTTTGTTTTAAGAAACTATTTAAATTAATTCTTTTTAAAATCAAATTTTATTATTCTTTTTGTATATCTAAAAACATAGTATATATATATAAAAAGTTAATTGAACATATTAAACAATCAACTTAAATAGTTAATATATAAAATAAACAATATTCAAATTTAAATCAATCAACACAAAATTATAATGGGTAGGACTGGGCTTGGAATTTCAAAATTAATATTAGCATGCACCTGACTTGGGAATATCTTTTACAAATTATTAAGGGTTGATCTGGGTTTGATAAACAATTTTATAATTATAAGATCTTGGATGCTTCCTAATATTGTGAGCTTGAACCTGGCATGTCATCTATCGTAAAAAATGAATAAAAATCCTATTCCCAGTCATTTTTAATGGGCTTTCTACTAGTTTATATTAATGAATTGAAATAAAAGACCAGAAGCTTCGACTGAATCATGAGTGGAAATCTCTGAGTTAAGAATTCTAATAGAAGTGTATAATAATACCTTACCAATAGCCTCAAAATTCTTATAAATGATACGAGATGTTTTAAAATAACCAGTCCACTTCGGATCTAGATGTTTCTTAAGAGTATGACCTGTATATTTACAGGATATGTTAAAATGTCTAAAAAATATATATTTAAGCATTAGATAAAATTAAAAAAATAACAAATTATTTATACCAATTTTGAATCGATGCAACTTGTGGTTGTAGCAATAGGTTTTTTTTATTAATTTTTTTTGAAGCAGAGTTAGTAATCTTCCATTTCGACCAGACATGACGTTTGATCGTATGCCTGGTTTATTATATACAATGAAATAATATTTAATTCATTAGGTTGCTTTGAAATACAATTAGTAATGTTCAGCAAATGATTCCTATTATATTTCCAATTATTCTCTGGTCATCACAACTTGTAAAAACATGTTTTTAATGGTATTAAGATAAGGACTGTAAGGTGGTAAACATTTTATTGTATACTTTCTTTCTATCGACTTCCTAATTGTATGGTTATGATGAAATGGTTCATTATCTATCACAAAAATCATATTCATCATGTTATCTTTTTCAAAATGATTAAAATATATATTTTTTTAAAAAATAACGATTATTCTTTTTTGAATGAGAATTTTCATTTTTTGATTGACACTTTCCTATTTTGTTTGATACTTTTCCTTTTTTGATCAGACTTTTTCCTAGGTCTTTGGGTCTTTTCCTTTTTTGATTGAACTTTTTCCTTTTATGATTGACTCTTTTCCTTATTTGATATGATCTTTTCCTTTTATGATTGACACTTTTCTTTTTTTGAATGGGAAACTCTGTATATTACTAAATATCGACAAAATCTATATATTGCATATCAGAGTCATTATTTTTCAAATAAAACTCATTTCAGGATAATTTTTTTAAATATTTTTAAATGTAAATTAAAACTATTAGACATTCTATCAAAAAACTCATATTCTTACCATACAACATACTATAATAATGCATTTATTGTGAATGAGGGAAAGATTTTTAATTTAATTCATATTCTAAAACTAACACTTTTACATTCACAATTATAATTTGAGGTAGAGTAGTGATAATTTAAGTTATTCCTTTTAAAATATATTAAGGGATTGCCATAATTAATAACTTGAAATTAATAACGTGGGAATATGACCGCCAAAGGTTGCGAAATTTATTTTAGGGTGGGGGGTTAGGTATAGGTTTTTAAAGGGGTGTTGCCTTCAATAAATATTCTGCCATATAGACGATAAATATATCATATGAATATGCATAAACAACATATAAATATTGTAGTATATAACACTTATAAATTATAATATACAAGGAAAAAATATAATTTTTTTACACATATTGTATAACATTAAAAAATATATATTGGTACAATAGAAGAGAAAGAGACAATAAAAATTTATGATCGGGAAATAGTATTAAAAGATATCATGAAATAAAAAAAAAAAATTTATTTTTAATGTTGAAAACCAATAATTTTTTTAAATTTATGTTAATCAATAAATAAAAAAAATAATATTATACATTATATTCTACAGATTTTTATTATTTATAATTATCATTGTTTTATCACAAGGGACAAAACAACTATTATATGTAACATTTTATATGATATAACAGGAAAATTGGAATTAATTATCTCTTTATATTTATATATTTTTTTATTTTAGTTTATTATGAAAAATTTTGTGTGGTGTGTTCAAAGATTTTTTTTTTAGAAAAATCATCTTTCCATACTACAAAAATTAAATAGGTTATAACGTCTTTTAAGCTAACAGAAATTTGAAAACGAAAAGTGAAAATATAAAAACCAAGAAAAATGGTATATTTAAAATAATCAATTTTAACTACAATACTTACCACCATTAAAACCCAGACTTCTACCATGGAATAGGACGGTATGGAGCAAGATCATCATTGAAATAAAATTTTAATTTGTCTTTTCTTGCAATCTTTGATTTGGTATAGAGAGTAGGAGAGTAAATCGTCTAGCTGAATGCTGAAGTTCAAAAAAATAATTATTGATACAAGATAAATACTAAATAGTATAATATCCATCTCATTAACTGTTTTTAAATTATATATAACTGTATGAAATTAAAATAAGTTGCAAAATAAAAGAAATATAATGAATAAAACAAAACACTATAAGTGCCTAGAGATTAATTTTATATCAAGGATAAATTTAATCGTAATGAACATTTATATAACAAAATTAATAAACATATTGCAAAACGATTATATTATAAATTAACTAGCATCATATTGTAACATTTAGCAAATAATTGAGATTACCAAGAAATTAACTCCCTGTAAATTTTACAAAATGAATAATCGTGCGTTTTACCCAGTACCTCTGAGAACTTCACTGATATTACTAACCTTATCCCCGCCGTGATAAAAGCCGCTGCAGCGGAGACGGTGGTTTGTATGGATTAGAATGTTGGGCTATCAAGATGAGTTAGGAAAAAGAGGTGGGTATAATAGAAATAAAATTTATAAAGTAGATTTTAGGAAAATCTAAAAAAAATCATCGTAGGAATAAATACATCATATAAAAGGGAGACTAGACAAAGTAGTTTTGGATAGACACAAAGAAGAAGAGAATATATCAAGGAAAGGGTGGAACCGTTAGAGATAGGAAAAAACGGACAATAGAGGTATCAGTTAAAAATGAACTTCAAAGGATTTTGACGATGTTAAGAATAGACAGCGTCTACATGACAGGATTTTCACTGGATGCAAACTCCCCTAAAAAACCTATACCTACCCCCCTAAAAAATTACTGCCACCTTCGGCGGCGATGTTTTTAATTTCACTTTTTTAATTATAATGATAGTCTTTAATTTTAAAAGAATTATTTAAATAATTTTATCTATACTATCAACTATCGACATTATGTGAATATAGAGGAGTTATTTTTTAGATAATAAATTCAATTAAAACTCCCTTCATTTACAATGAATTTATTATTATAGCATTATGAGCTTGCTGAAAATATCGAAGCATTTAAATTACATTTGAAAGGATAGCAGAAAGTTTTATTTGGAAAATAATGTCTATGATTGTTTGCAATATATAGATTTGGTTGAATTGTATTATAATAATAAAAGTATTAATTTTTACAGCAATAAATTTTGTCCTATTTGATCTCAAAATTTAATAGACCCCCAAAAAATTTATTTTACCCCCATTAAAGCTGCCTTACACGTAACCCCCTCAAAAAAATAGGATGCAAGATGTTCCTACCCCCCCCCCCCCTCTCCGTTTATGTAGACTCTGAGAATAGAGCTAGAGAGATCGAAGTGATACGAAAATTAAAATTCACATGTTCAAAGAGAATTAATGACCACTATGCTTAAATGAATGACCAAAGAGTTATAGATAACGAAAAGCGAGAAAAATTATAGACAGGATTGTTGTAAATGGGTAATATACTGTATTAGGTTTGATTATTACTACTTTTCTAAAAAAAATTATTTAAAAAAAATATATATTTATAAATTGGGTAAAGTTAAACTATCGATCAATTTAGTATAAAATCACTTATTTTATTATATTAGAGATATCAAAAAATCAACTCATTTGTAGTCATTCATATCTTCTTTTCTTAATTATTTTAACATGGGAAGATGAGGTGATACGTATTCCTTAGTTGTAGCAATATTTTTAAAATGAAAAAAAAAACAAGTGGAAACTTTTCGGATATAAATTGATATTAAATTAGATTATATTAAAAGATCAAATAAAAAAAATTAAATTTCATTTTTTTTAGTTTAATTTTTTTTTGTTTTACCCCTTAATATGATATCATAATGTATTTTATATTAAATTTATCCTTTCAGGGTATTTAATTTAATTATGATTAATATCTTTTAAAAAAGCGTGTTAATAAGGGTCACATTGATCATTTAATTTTTTTTTGACTTATTCTGGGTATTATCTCTAAAAATGAGATTGAATATCAATATGATTATGAATAATACGCAGAGCTCTCTATTAAGTCAATGATGAGGCCTCTTTGACGACTAAAATTAAAATATTTCAATTTTTATATGAATACCAAGTGGGTATCTCTCTGAACCCACCCCCTCTCCGAGATTTAAATGACTTAATTGATTCATACTATCTCCGTGTCAGAGGGCTCAATAATACAAATATATAATTCCAAGGTCATTTTTCTGAAACTCATTTAAACATGATCTTATGTGAATACTTTAAAAAAATAGATTATACATTAACCAGCAAAAATACTTTGAAATGCCTTAGATGCTCTTTAATAATCTATTAATCATCAATTTAAATATTAATATAATTAAATATATTTAGCAATGTTTTTTAAATGTAGCACCTTATTCGAATGCCCTATTATTGAAAAAAATCATACCCAGGCACTTTGCACCCACTTAGGTTAGTGATGATATTTTCCTCTTCCCCAATTTCCCTACAACTTATTTCCTACTTACCTAGTTTATCCTTCCTTCTATTACCTATTACCTCCTCCGGTCTTACATCATACCTCTTCCCCCATGTTGTAAGTGCCCTAGCTACCATTTTAAATATGATTTTTTATTTAAAAAATGCCATTTTATTGAATATACCAAATACATGTTAATAAAATATAGAATCCCATTAAGAATTCGTACCCTATTTGTTTTTAATTTGAAACAACCAAACTATGTTTGGACTATATCATTCCCATCTATTTGGGTTTAAATTTTTAGGGAATGTCATTAGAAAAGACCACCCACAGTTTTTGGGGAGGCGACAGTTACCTGTACGTGCATTAAGACTAATTTCAGGCTATAAAACTCACACGGGAAATAATTAAATAGATGTAAAAATGCGTGTAACTTTTATCATTAAAAAGGGTTTTCAGGGATGGGTTTGGTTAAGTTAATTTTGATTTTATTTAAGAATATGATGTTGAGTACCTGGAAAATAAATATAAGAAATAAAAATAACAAACCAAAGCAGACATCCAATAAAAAATAGATGTTTTCTATCTAATTATGGATTTTATTTATAGAATTATTTTTCCATATCATAAAGTAGAGTTTTTAATAAAATTTGTGACCATTTGAAAGTTGTAATCTCTTGTTATTTCATCATCGGAATTGCTATTCAAAATGAATAGATTCCCTAGATTATAATAGTGTATTCTACGTTATCATCTCAAAGTAGTAGTTCGGCCATCAATCAGTCTACTTCCTTATTAAACCATATTCTCAACACTATAAGTGGGTTATTAATTTTTTAAATAAAGATAAATTAAATATATGGAAAATGTTTGAAAATATTCCATTTATTATTATATCATCAAATTAAGGGGCCTTTCTTATCGAATCAATTCTTTTTTAAAAACAGCATTGTTTATTTATATCGTAACCAGGCCTATGAAAATATTAATCAAAAATTTACTATGTAAGAAAAAAATTTTAGATTCGAAGAATTTAAGGTTTTCAAAATCGAAAAAATAATTTTTATTTTTTATTAAGTGATATAATATAAATATATGTGATAATATAATATGCCCAATTCAAGTAAAATAATTGAATTAGAGTTCGTATTCAAATGATAAGTTTATTGAATTAAAAATATTTTCTATAAAAGATTACAAAATTTGAAAATTATTGTTAAATTAGTTAAAAGTATTTTTTTTTAAAAACCATATCAACGCTCTTTCACCCTGTTTCAAAAAGCCTACGATTCGTTGGCATCGCCCAATGTGAACAATAAATTGTAGGTTGTTGTCGGGAACAAAAATACCTCACTTCATACCTTAAACAAAAATTAGAATTAGTTTTCCAAATTTATTAAGACGAATAATAAATGTAGGAAAAATTTTTTTTAGGGATTTTAAGAGGATTGAGTTAGACAAGAATTAAATATATTAATTTAAGTAGTAATAAAATAATAATGGTCATCACAATTTATCAGTATATATATATTTATATAAAGGTTGGTTAATTACATATAAAAAAACATTTGAATATAATTTAAACAAGAATAAATTTTATTAAACTAATTTTTATCTATTATTATTTAATAAAAAGAAAGTTAACATAAAAATTTTCCCTTATATTAATTTATAGTCGCAAAACAATAAACAAAAAGATAAATATATAATGTTAAGTTTTTAAGAACATTTTAAAAAAAATTTGGCTTAGGGCACACAATTGAACGCTGATATTAGTAACAAATTTAGCTTGTGGACAGCAAAATTAAATTGCGGTTGCAAATAGTCGCGAAAGATGGTATCACAATTACGCCATTGTAGGAATGCCACACACGTCCCTATTAAAAGGTTTTTATAAAAGTATATTTATTAGTTAAGATGAATTAGTATCACTTCACCTGAACTGTTTTCTTTGACATTAATGCAAATACAAATTTCCTCATATGAACTGATATCACAAGTATCACCACCATTAACTGCGTGTAAACAGGCGTTAATCAGTGAAGTTTTAAAATTAGAAATTATATTCTCATCTTTGATTATCATGTGATTTTATTGATAAATAACGAATATTGCCAGGGACACTTTATTAAAAAGGGTCACTTCTTTTAAACATGATAATATTTCTTAATAATCAATTTTTTTTTAAAGTTTTTAGGTAGGTATATCCGGTAAAATCTAACATTAATCAAATGAAAGAATCATGATTAATTATATTAGTGTAGGAATTATTCAGAAGATTCTGATTTGTAATTGCAATGGGATCTGGAAGCTTATATCATTATTTGCTGATTTAATTTGAAATATTTACAAATTAAAATTAACTCGTTTTAGTTTTTTTTTCCTTGAGGTAGTTTTGAATAATTGGCAGAGAAAACATTTATGTGTTAAATTATTTTCAAACTCACCTAATAGAATTCTTTTTTAAAATTTTATTTTGCAATTAAATTATTAATTGGATAAAAAAGATTCTAAAACCCTTTTTTTAGTTGGGTGGGGGTGGGTGGGTTCTAAAAAATCAGAAAGATTTATATTTTTCATATTTTTGAACGAAGTTCTCTCTATGACCCTTCCCTCCCCTAGTATCGCCATTGGAAAGGGTCGTATAATTTGTAAATTTTTTATAATAGTAAAAAAACGTTTTGCTACATCAAAAAAAAGAAAATATTTTATATATTTACTATAATATTAGTATAATAGGTACCTAAATTTCTAAATAACTACCATAATTTTTAATAGGATAGGAAGGCAAATTAATATCATGGGGTCAATTTAGTTCGTTGATAAATTCACTTTAATTTATATTTAATATTTTAATATTTCTTAAATAACAAAAATATTTCTAAAAAAATTAATCATATCACGAAAATTATTTTATTATTGATAGTATATCTTTTGAAAAAAATATTTTTCCAAAAATAAGCATTTTAATAAATTGAATATGGTCGTTTAATAATTATAACTTATTTTATTTGGTAAGTTTATTTCACGATATAAATTTCTCGGCTCCAATTCCCAAAATAACTACCCTCCCCCCCCCCCCCATTTCCGTTCGTCCCCAACAAAATTTGTGATTTAAAAAAATTATTTAATTTATCTAGATATTTACAAAAAAAGTAATAAATTATTTATCTAATCATCATATTGGTATAATGTTATCATATTATTTATCTAAGGATTATGAGGTGAAGTGAAAAAGTTGATTTTATTTCATTAATAATTTTAACACAAATATTATTCAAAAAAAACAAAATGATAATTTTGATATTATTTTAAAGTAAACTTGAGATATATTTTGCTATGGAACCTAATATATAATATATCGTGGAGATGGATTAAGAGAGATTAGTTTAAATTTATGGAATAAAAAATTAAAAAATTATTTGCTAAATAGAGAAAAGAATAACTAAATCTTTGAATAAAAAAATATAATTAACCAAATTCGGAATCTAAAAATCAATCACGAAATATCATCAGCTATTTTTACCATTTCTCGTAGTTTAAATTATATATTCTCTTTGCATTTATGCCAATTCAACATATAAATGTTTATATTCCTATGGATTACATGCTACCATTTTAGTTTCGATTCTTGCAGCCTTTCCTTTTCTCTGAATTAGGTATTTCCCAACCATTTTTTCAACGTAATCACTTCGTCTTGGACTATTTGTCAATATGTGGGTTCCTAATGGTAGAGTTGCACACGTTACTTAAGAAAGTTAACGGTTAAAGATACTTATAGAATAAAGATAACGGGTAAGTTACCACCGATGTCTCAAAAAAAAATTAATGATCAGGCTATTGATATTTGGAGCATGTAAAAATGCGATAAAAATTTTTATTGTTTGATTTCTCTGCAAAGTCTAAAAAAACAGCATATAAGGCAATTTCCAGACAGAACTAGTGTTGTTAAATTACCTAACTTTGACCATCTCTATTGTGGCTTAGTCAAGCTTTTAACCTAAAAAAATAAATTAAGCTTCTAAGTTGAGTCTCAACTTGAAGATTGATTGGAAGATTTTTGATTCAATACATGGTTTTATAGTTGACAAAAGTTAGGTAGTTTAACTACACTAGACAGAATGTTATTTCAAAGAGATTTTCTAGGCATGTTTCCAGCTAATTTACTTATTTCCAAACAAAGGATAATAATTTGTCAAATTAATCTTGTTGCATAATAAATTTTAAAAAAGTTGATCGAAATTCTCCCAGACACCATTTGATAAAAAAACTAATGATTTTGATTTTTTCTCCTGTTTGAAGGATAGTAAAAGTTGAAGGACGAGTTATAAGGGAAAAAACGTGATTTAAGCAATTTAAACAGGAGTTCACTTTGTTCTAAAATACTCCAAAGAGTACGGAGAATCTTCAGAAATAGCAAGATGCACTATATGTGTGTGAAAACTTCTCCGCCAAAATTGGATTTAAATTATCCTTTGAATCTTTAAATTTTATTGTTTATTTTGAAATGAAAAAAATAAATAATTTTTTAAAAAATTTTTAAATCTATTTAATATATTGAATCAAAACAATCACCTAATAAATGTGTGTAAATAAATTAAGCCATATTATTTTAATGAAAAAAGTAATAATATTAATAAATTTAAATAAAAGAAGAATAGCCGTTTTTATTTTAGGATATGAATCCATCAAATCTCAAAATCCCGAATCTTCAGAAACCCTATGATCTATAATATTGAGTTTATCTTCTTTCATGATATTGTCGTCTTCTTCTGTATGGTTACCATAATTTAAGAAAATAGTAAACAAAATCATTAAATCCTGGAATCCATGTTTCCCGTCAACCATTATAATCAGGCATTTTTATGTTAAAATATTATTTTTATTTTTAAAAAATTGTAAAAATGCTTAAAAAAGTAACGAAAAATAAACCTTACGTTACACAATTATAGCTGTTGTAGATGCTTCATTGTATTATTAAAATGGGAAAATTAATTACATAATGCTACATGTAACTTTACCCATCTATGCCTAATGAAATACAAGATTTTGAATACTCTAGCATCATAAACAAAATCCTCATTGTAGCTCACACTATCCACTTTATAATTGTCATAGTGAGACTCAAACTTTGTTTCTCTTTATTTCAGAACTCAGGTATTTGAATGTCTCTGATTTATAGAGACTAGTATATAATATTTGTTATTATACAAAACTATCAGTAAACATCTAAATTTTATATTTTAATTTGACTCTAACCATTAATTTTTTTAATAACCTAACCCTTACTTAAAATTAGCTTTAAAAAATTTTTCTTGAGAGATATTCTGTCGAACCATTCAAGTTATTAACGAACTTAAATTTAAAAATATTTATTATATCATATTTTTATATCATTTTAATCTTTTTTATATTAAAAAATTTTTTTATATATATATACTTGTAATTTTTTTATCGTTTTCAATTTAATTACCAATTCATACATATAAATTGATTTTGATAATATAATTAAAAAAAATTTGACAAAAATTATTTTTCCACACTTTATTTAAAAATAATTGCTTAAAAAATAATATTTTTTCAATTTTTTCGTAATAATATTTTCTTATAGCAAAAATATAACCATTCTCATAAAAAAAATTGTGAATGTGTTATATATTCCTGTTAATTCTTATATTATTAAATATTCAATTTTATTCATTCAATATTCCGTACAAGATTCCTATAGGTAACACATTAATAATCCATAAAAATCATTGTGCTGAATATATTCCTTGAATTTAACTTTTGAGAAAATGTTTCATCAAACATTCCTTAATGATATATATATCTTATCAATCTTAAAAAAACAGTCAATTTTGATTATTAAATCCCTATTACTTGCTTTTATAAATTATTTAAATAATGGATATTATAAAATGAACTATCAATACCTTTAAAAATAGACTTATAATATTTCCCAATTTACGATTTCAAAAAGTGTGCACTAGAACAGAAGACTTAAATTATAAAATAACTGTATGAATGAAATAAGAAATTCAGACTTTGTGGTAATATTTACTAAAATATTCAACATTGCATTTATTCATAGCTGCAGACTTATAGGTTTTTGAAAAAAAAACTTCCTGAGATCTAGTGTTAAGAAGTCCGATTCGGGTCGATTTTTAAAAACGACTCGATTAAGATTATTCCAAAATAATGTAGGCCTGGTAATTTTGCTTATAAGTAGCAGAAAGGTTTGGACTTTCTCTGCCAAATCTCGAGGTTTGCATAATATATTATTTTAACTGTAATCTGGTCGTTTTTAAAAATCAACCCGAATCGGGCTTTTTAACAACCCTTAGGGCAAGGTAATAATTCAAGGCAACTATGAGGTTGAACTATGTGGCAACTAAGTCTATTGCTTAGGGTAACTTTTAGTTGTTCATTAGTTAAGAAGTTTCCTAAGATTTTAATAGGCAAATCTTTCAACCAATCATGTCTGCCTATTTTATCATTATTTTGAGAGTTGGATGTCTTTAAGGGGAGAAGATGTGGATAAAATAAAAAGAATTTTGAAATTAAGAGTAAAAAAATATTTTATGATTTATTCTATAGGGAAATTTATCTGTTAAAATATTTTCCAACAATGCAATGGCCTGATCTAGCATGCTATCATTAGGGGAATTAAGCTGGATATTAACGAGTTGTTCAATAGTGGGGAAGAAACAAGATGAGAATGACAGGGTATAAGGAGATATTAGGTCTATTAGGAAGTTGGGCTAATCTTAAAATTAAAAAATTTCCCCAAAAAGACTTTAAAGAAGAACTCCAAACGTTCGATAAATTCTTTAATTAAAAAAAAGAAGATGCACGAAAGATGTAATATTTTAGGAACATGTAAGAATTTATGAATTATATAGATAATCTGATATGATCTAAGCTCAATATATTGTCAGTAATTTTTTTTTTATTTAAATATATTTTTTTTGCGATATCAATTTAAATTTATTTTTCATAAATTTTTTTTTAAAATACATGTTAAAACAAAAAAACGTAATTATATTTTATAGAGATTCTTCGAATAGAGAAATGTTAGATAAAGATGAGCCCAACAGTTTAGATTATTAAGTTCGACGATTTTGCTGCCAGATAAAGCCTTTTTATTATTATCTAGAAAACATATTTCTGTCATATATTGATTATGTGATAACTAACATTAACCGGCTTAAGATTCATATAGGAATTTAAAGCAATTTGCCAATTGAAAACAAAGCCTGATAGCTACATTCATAAATTATGCTAATTTTATAAAAAATTATTTCAATATTTTTTTTAAAGATTTCGCTCTTTAAAATTCATACGGTATACAACTATATAATACCAAACCAATACTCTTCTAATTCGGCAAACCTTCAAAAAACTTTCATATAATTAAATTATATTTTATTATATATTTTGTATATTATATTCCTAATCTTTTGATAATAGAGATAATAATTTTTAAATAACACTTATGATTATTAGAGAAGGAGGGGGGAGGTGGGTATTATCATTTTTTAGTACTATCATCAGATATCCAGATTATTTATATTATAATAGCAAGTTTTTTTAAAATGATAATATTAATAAAGCTAGGCTGTTGATGCCTCAAAAATCCTTAATCCTTCTTAACATTTTTTTTTCATTCTATAAAATTTCTAGAATTTTTTTTGTATTTTATCTATTATCTACTTTTGAGATAAGTTTTAAAACACATTTAATATTTTGACTTTTTTATCTAATAATTTCGTTAAAACAAAATAGCATGAAGAACAAACAATACATTAGATGTTTTAAAGCCGTATCAAAAATATTTGGTGTTATTTTTTTAATAATAAATAAAATATTATATTAACGATTATTCTTCTATAATCATATTAATGTCAACTAACAAAATAATGTTTTTTTTACATTTTAGCCAAAACAGGATTTATTGCTTTCCCCTATTATACTGATCAAATACGAATTTTGGGATAAATTATTATGTTTAGGTAGCTTTGTAGTTTTAGATTTAATTTGCTAAAAACATTATAAAATAAGTTATACTCATGGAGTCAAATTTGAATTAATGTTATTGAATTAATGTTATTGAATTAATGTTATTGAATCAATGCACGAAAAGTACCTACGATTTACGAAAGGAGCACACTATTACGCTATCCACCAAAAGAGGGAAAAATTTGGGACTAATAATATATATCACCTGAATCTTAAATTATCTCAAAAAAAAATAGGAATATTAATTTGGGCAAAAAATAGTTGAAAAACAATTTATTTAATTAAAATGGATCTCTACAATAAAAGATTAAATAAAGATATGAAATATTTGTCAAAGCTATTTTTCCTCACATATTTTGTAATAACTATTTTTTTAAAAATTTGTTGATGTTATCAGTTCTACGATAGGGAAGAATTCCACTGAATGAGAAGAGGTATCATTGTTAGACTTGAAATATATTTTAAAATATGTATTTCATATCAGTCATGATACGATTTTATTTAGATAAAGCTGTCCTTACTAAAATAAATTGTGGAAGTCTGCCTAGATATTTATTGTTAATCAATATGTTCCCATCTGTCATCTCACTTTATGAGAGATTGATATTGAGATTTAACCTGAAACAAAATCCTTTAATTTTTCCTAAATAAAGAATATGATAAAATAATAAAATAAATTAACAACCTATTAATCTTATCTTTCAATATATAAATACAAATCTTTGTCCCCCTAGCTTCCGGTGAAAGTTTTTTCAATATGGGCCAGATCGGACAACTTATGCAAAAACTCCTAAAGGGCCTAGGCTCGCCGAACTGGACTTTGCAAACTTCTAGTCTAGAATGCAGAATACGCCCTATATTAAAACCGTTGAACTCTTGAAATTGTTAAGAGACTCAATGTTTACAAATAGACAATTAAATTTTACAAGATAATGAGCAGTAGTAAAATAAATTTGTTTTTTATAAAAGGTTGGAGGATTAGATATTTATATATATATATAAATAAATTACCCCTTAAACATATTTTATAAATAATGAATAAAAGCATTATCATCAAATCAAATCTTTTAAAAATATCATTATCCTTTATTAAACTTTCGTTAATTCAAATCCAAAGGGTGTAAAGAAGATATGGCTTTTAGCAATATTTACATACAAGCGAATTTAATTAAAATCCGAAATATCTATGATGTATTAAATAATAAACTTATGTTTCTTTCTATAACAAAAAAAATATCAGAGCACAGGTTTCATTATAAAATGTGTGAAAAAAAAGCTTTTTTAGAGAAGTCACTTCAAAGAATATTTTATTGGCGTAATTTTGATAAATTATTAAATTTAATTTTCTATTCTTGTTCCATATAACACTAATGAATAGTGCTGTAAACGTATCTAAAAAATCGAAGGCGTTCACGTTCAAGTTCATCTTCAAAAAAAGGAATTATGTAATTTTTTTTTTAAATAAATTTAATTTGATATTTAATTTAGTATAAATAAATACCATTAATATATAAAAACTTTAATATATTATATAAAATTTAATTATTTATAAAATATATAAATTCATAATGTTTAAATCAGGGTTGGCAAATCGGTATTGATCGGGTCAAATACTCTAAGAAGAAAAAAATGAAAATATATTTGAAAAAGGAAAAAACGATATAAACACAAATGATCAAAATGCTTCTTATTTATTGGGTCCTTAATATCAAGGGTAAACATCTTACTAGTCATGAATTCAATTAAGTATGTGATATAATACAAGAATTAGGCATCTTACAAGGTGTTGTCAAAATATTTTAAGTGATATCATAAATTTCAGAACTAAAAGGGGAATGTTTAATAGCAAATTATGTGGAATGCATTAACTGCCATAAGAAATAATCAGATTCAGGCCTCAAGTTAATGGAATTGGAATGGGCTTGCCCACCTTGCTCTTTAAGAGAAATGACATTTTGCTAACAATTTCTAGTTTTAATTGTCGATTTGGGGTAATATTTTTACTTAAACAGAAATCGATTGAAGATCTCGAAATAGGAAAATTGATTAAAAATGATTAAAGAAAACGATATCGTATTTGAGCAGAAAAATACATATCTCTGCTATAAATTGTGTTCTATTAAAATATGAAACCCTTGATAAAAACTTTAAAATAATAGAGAAATTTCAAATAATTACACTAAATATAAATAAATTCTAATTCTTCCACTGAAAGAATTAAATTAATTTTTTTAACGAAATTAAGGTTAAATTTTATAAATTTTTATTTCAAGTTCGTCTAAGATCCAAGAGATAGACTATTATAAATTAAAGTCATTAATTTTCCCACACATGACAATCTAGGCACGGATTTTTTTAAATCGTGGGTAATTGGCAGACAAAATTTTTTATATGGATAAAGCCCTATAGCGTTGTCATGTATTAGGAGTATCTGTAATTGGCCAATAAGGGCAAATTAAGTGATTGATATAAACAACAGAATTTATTCCTTTGCGAATTAAAGAAAACATAATTTATCAGTATAAGATCTTCTTTTGATAACATTTTAATTAATAAAATTACTGTTTGATTTTGTTAGGTTTTAATTAAAAGATTTATGATCAGATTTGTTTAATAACCAAAATATTTTGTGTTATAATTTATTTAAGGTAAAATGTTGAAAACACGTCTAGACTGTTTTTTAAGAAAAATATTTAGGTCTCTTTTTAA